ATTTTAAAACAGAAAAAAAAATTAAAGAAGAAAAACACAAAATGGGCAAGGTCAGATACAATTTTGATATTTTCATTACTTGAACAAAAACACCATTTTATATAAGCAGACAAACTTATATCATATTGTACTTTAATGTCGTTTTAAATAGGCGTTTACGCACTTAATGAGATTTACTTCAAAACCATTAAATTGAGTGTATTTTAAGTACTATTATAATTGAGAATATTTTGCCAATTGTCTGAAAATGAGGCTAATCTGTATTATTTGTGTTAAGCTTTCTTGATACAACGTACAAATGTGCGAAAAAATGTTAAGAGAATTCGAGTCTTAAATCAGGTTTTGTTCTTCAAGAATAATAGATTTTTGGAATTTTTGAATTTGAGAGTTAATTACAATTTTAATAGTATAATTATAATTATATATAAACATTATTGTGATTATAAGTGTTTTTTTAAGTATCAATAAAGTTTTATGTAGTACACCACATAAATATACTCGAACTAAATATACATACATATATATAATACGGTGATGTTGCGGTTTATCATTGTTTAGAGAGAAATTTACGTCATACAAAATTACTATGTACATGCGGAAGTAATTGTTTTAGATGATAGAGGAAGTGAAGAATTTCGTTTTAATTATGCATTGATAATTAAAATTATTAAGGATTATGGAAGTAAATAATTGTGAAACAAAATTATTATAAAATTCAAATTTTTCAAATTGAATATTTTCTGAGTTGTTAAATTGAAGACATAATAATGCTTGGTGATTCAGTAATAAGTTTACAGGGCATTAAAAATTGGTAGGTATTTTGTTTGGAACTATAGGTGTCGCATTTCTACATTTATTCCAATTCTTTTGTCTCCAAATAAACTCTATGTTAACTCTTTCAATTTTTATAGTTAAACTTATTTCATAAGTGCAATTAAATGTCATCCGTTCCTGATATTATATTCAAGCACTGTATTTCTGGTTGAAATTAATAAAGCGATTTAATCCTTTGTATGCAATTTTGACAACTGTTCCAAATTTTCTTTTCTAAATATATATGGGCATGTATACTCAGTTCACTTGTTTTTATACATAGTTTTTTATTATTTAGACTCTAGAACACATAACAGTATTCCTTTAATCAATGATGGAATTTAATGCAATTATTTAAAGTGTTATAATATTAATTAAGCTTTAAATAAACACCATTGTCATTTCCATGGACGTAGTAGTTGGAATAATACTTTTCTTAACTACTTATCCAATTTAAAATGTTCCTCTTCAAGCATTTTTATACAATTCACTTTTTGTATTGTAGCATTACAGGATTTTTTCTTAAACACCGTGTGTGCTATGAGCTTTCACAGCTTTCTTAAAGATACGATTACCGTTAATCGAAGCATGTAATCTGTGATATCCTTTCCTACAATATATCAAATTCTTTCAATGTTTTTGCTTTACCTATGAGATTTTTATCATCTCCATATATTCTACGTTTCGATTTAAGGTTAAAGTTTGAAAGCTTAATTTCCCAAATGTTGCCCATAAAAGTGAAAATATAAAACTTCAAATATATATATCGCTAGAGTCGTACAAAATACTTCTGATTACACGATCTTGAATAAAAGGGGTGCTGATAGGATTAGTCACACAACTTTTCCCGTTAAAATATCTAGCAATACTTCAAATTAAAAGATATGGTACACTTAGTGTTGAAGCAAACAAATTATTTTTGTATTAATTGAATGCTTAAATTACAATGTTTTAAAACAGCTATTTTCAGAAGTACACCTGTTATATTATTAATGGATAATTGAAAAATTGCTATAAATATAAATTAAAATACAAATTCAAAATCGCGAAACAAAATTTTTAAATCAGAAAAAAAATTGCAATTGATAACACTCATAAATTCCCATAGATATTTACTTTGAAACTTTCAATCAATTATCACATTATTAACCAATCGTCACAGCAAAATCAAAAAGAAAAAAAATATACCAAATGATTCAATTTTTTTACAAAATCCGGTTCAAGTCTAAATGAAATCAAAATCATAGTGACCTAAAGCTAATGTGGTAAGAATTAACATCTTAATTATAATTTCGAGAATTTCATAGTTATCTAATAAAATATAAATTAGTAAAATTGACACTTATCATGTTAAAAATTTTATATACTATCATTGGTCAGCCAAAAAGCAAAATATAAAAGTTTTTTTTAACCGTGGAAGAATATTGCAATAAGAACGTTAATTCACAAGATTAAAAATTTGGTTTGAAATTGGAAAATACTCAAATTTTTTTCTTGAAGCTCAAATGCTACGAATTCTGTAACTTTTAGCATTTCAGTAAAGATTACCAAAAATGGTATATATAACCATAAAAATTAAAACACTTAAAATATTAATAAAAAACAATCTAACATTTTTGCTGTAAACTATTTTCGAGGTCAAAATTCTAAGCATAACATTCAACTGTTCGCGTTCCATCATCATACAAGTTTACTTTCAATTTTGATTACGCTTTTATTAATTTGTCATTACTATAATTTTATTTCAGTTTTTATTTTTTGTTAAACAGCCATTCGGTTGGTAAGTTATACTGGAATTTATTACACAAGAATATTAAAATATTAAAAAAAATATATAATTAAAGTAAAATACTTGTGTGCGCACATACATCTACACAATATGTAAAAAGAAAACGCAAAATAAAAAATGCGATATGAAGACTGCAATTCCATAATGCCTACAATGCTATGTCATCTAACTCAAGATAAACACAAAGATCACCTCTAAGTATAATTTTTAAATTGTATTGTAACTGTAAAATAGTAGGTGAATGATACCAGATCCGACACCTTCTTAATTAAAATAAATGGAAATAAGAAAATTAACGATTTTAAAAACAAAATTAAAAATTTCATGAAGAAATTTTTGCGTCTACTTTCAATTTTAATAACAAATTTTATATGTGCGCTATCAAAAACTACTGGTATAAAATCTGTGCGAATGAGTATTTAAATTAAAATTAAAAGCGAATCTAAAATAAATTTTAAATACATTTAATTAAATACAAATAAATTAAAGTATGAAGGTACGTTTGTTTACTCAATGATATTTGTATAGGCATTTGTCATCTCCTCCTCTTAAATTCATTATGATTTTACTCCTATTTTGACCAAAAAATCAAAAATTTAATAAGAAGCAAGCAAAAAAATATGCCGCAAAAATTAAGACAAGGTCTTTACGGATCACCTGTATTTTTTTAACTGTTAATTTATAAACAAGAAACGTTTGCTTTTTTTTCAGATGATAATTTTGATCAGTTTTTGAGCTTTTTCATAATTTTTTTTTATTGTTTAACTTGGAAGAATCACTGCTTTAATTTTTGGCAATTATTGCGTTTTTTTTTTTGTTATAATATTAAAACTTTTTAAAGTAATTCGAAGTATTACAATCCCACGAATGATTTTAAATGTGCAAAGTTTTTGTATATAGGTGGGTTGAAGAAAAGCAATATTTCTTCATTTCATTGATTTATCACAGTTTATTCACAATTAATAAGTGAAACTAGAATAATTTACTTAAATTTTCTAATTCTTTTTTACAGCTATTATCGATTTCCGAATATCCTTGATCAACCTTCATCCAATATTATAGAATCCAATTTGTAAAACAAACAAGAATAAAAATCTTAAGAAATGCTTAAAATAAAATTCGAACTCTAATTGCACAATAATGAACTTTGCAATTTACATAATATGCTTATAATTTTCGAAAAGCTCTCAATTATTCTATTTTGGAATGGAAGTAGTAATATAATAACTTTATATTTCAGTATCCAAATGGATTTTATATGTATATTGTTGCTATTTTATTTGGAGTGCTGGCCTTTTAAAAATAGTCTGGCTTAGTTCCACTTAACAAATTTAAGATTCATAAGATGTATTGTAATATGATAAATTTTTCTAAACCATAGTCCATGATTTCTTCTGTTAGAATCTTCCAACTGACTTTAGAGTCAAGTATCAATTTTACAGGTCATTGAACTTGACTAGACTGTGACCTGCCTGGTGTACAATATCGAATATTGTTAGATGTATAGACAATTACTTTTATATTAATATTTCATTTATAATAATGTATATTAAGCTTTATAATACTTTATTACGATATTACTAATAGTATAATTATTGCAGGTACCTGGAAAGGTTTTGAACACGAGGCCCTTCGGTTAGAGGACCGGTGCCATAACCATTGAACAAATTATCTATTTCTATATGCTAGAGAACAACTCCATGTCGTTTTAGTCTTTTTTTTTATAAAATATTTTTGAATTTTCTCTTAAAGAAAAGAAAACAACAATGTGATTATCATTAAATAAATTTTTCATCAACAATCACAAAAAAATCGCAACAATAATTAAATTATATCAAAAGACAAAAGCGATCTTAACGAATTCATACGTGATGATGACAATGAATATCTTATACAATCAATAGGCTAATAGGCTGAATTCAATTGAATATCAGTTGTCTGAAAAACATCTGAATTATAAGAACAACAAAAATAATAATAATTATTATTAAATAATACAAAATATTACATAAAAAAAAACAATAATAATATAAAAAAGATGATATTCAAAAAAAAATCTAAACTCAGGTGATGCGCCACTCGAGTATTGGTCAACTTTAAGAAATTTTCGTAATAATTATCTATAAGTTTAAAGTAAACGCGCATTCATAAAAAGTGTTACCACTCGCATTCACACTATCATCACATTATTGTGAATCAACATCATCAACATCATTATCATTATAGTTATATTATCATGTACTCAAAGTCATAAGTAGTCTTTTTGGGATATTCGTAAAATACTTGTAATTTTTTTATTATGATGTATTCTTTTTGTTTTTTTTAATATTTTTTAATTTTATATGATGATGACCTTTATATTATCTCTTAAAAAAAAGTGAATTTTTTTTCTGTAATTTTTCAGATGTATATAAACAATTTGTTTAGTGACATTCTACACCAGTGTTGATCTAACTTTGAGATTTAAAGTTACCAGTAACCTAATACTTGGTTCTTATTTTTCTTTTTCAATTAAACTTTTGGAATACAACATGAAAGGATTTATTGTAAGGATCTTTAATATAAATTAATTAATATTTTAAATTAAATTCTGAAAAATACGTACATAATATGAGAAAAATATTTGTGATAAAGTGAAACAAAAAATTAATTTATAAAACTTTAGAAATATTAAATAAAATGTGATGCAAAATTAGAAAGAAAAAGAATAGTTAATGATAAAAGAACTAGGTCTAAATTTTATAAATGTTAATGGATGTGTAAGAAAAGTATACGGATTTTTTTTTAATTTGTTACAAAAGGACGAATATTTTAATGATAAATTTTGAAGCTCTCAGTTTAATACAATAGAAATGTGGAATATGTTACAGTTTTAGTGCATATATTTATAAATATCTCAATTAACTTAGGATTTAAGGGATAACAAACAGTCAAGACAAATCATATCTAAAGATATTTTTCTAATGTACAATAGCAGGTTTAACATTTTGGTTGTAATATAATTTGTGTACTCCAAGAGAAGTTTCGTCATTTTTATTTATCATTGTTCATGCTTGTGGTTTCAAAATATATCAAATGAAAAACTTAATTTTCTAAAAACATGCAATCAATTCTATATTTTTGATTCCTCAAATAAAAATTTACTTAACAAAATCTTCAAATTTATTTAAACCCAAAATTTTCATGGCATCAATAATTATGGAAAAATCTTGTAATTTGTTTTCAAATCAGAGAATCAAAATTTTTACTTATCGTACATGGAATCAATTGTGCTAGTGTTGTTGTTGAATTTATATTGCAACATTACTTAATGTAAGATACACGACACCCCAATAGATATAATGTACAAAATATAAATATAAAACACGAGTACACTTTTAAAGACTTTGATGTTATTAATAAACAGTCTATATAAAAAATTGTCAAGTCAATAGTTAATGTTTAAATGTAAAAACAAAATTTGGATAAAATATTTTTAATAATTGCATATAAAGTGAGCATCATATAATAAAACAAGTTATAAGCAAAGAAAAGGGTCACTCGAAAAATTATGTACCTTTTAGTGTTATTTTCATATATTTAAATTTGATGTCTTTGAACTTTTCAACTTCTTACGACATAATGCTCATTTGGTATTTACAAATTATTGTGTACGTAAGATGAAATAATATATTTTCTTATTATCCATTTGAATTAAACGAAGATGCAATTTCATAGAACGTCATTCTTATTTAAATTTGATTGTGAACAAAAATAAAAGAAAAATGCTTTTGAAATCTCAAAATTTAAATTGTATAGGAAAATTTTTGTAATTTTTCCAGATATTAATTTGTTCTATTGGGATTGTATTAGCTGCACCACAGTATAATTATTCACCAGGGCATTCAGGAACATCACATCACGGTTCATATAGTAGTGGTGGTAGTAGTACCTTAAGTGGTGGATCTGTTTTTGGAAATTTTGGTGGTAGTTTAGGTGGTGGTGGTGGTAGCCGCTTTACATCATCTGGAGCAGATTTTGGTGTTACCGGTGGTGGTGGCCAAGAAATAATAACAAAACACTTTTTCATTCATTCAGCACCTGAAGAACAAGATGAAGTTGGTGCCGACAAAGTTATTAATTTAGGTCCAGGGCGTAAACACTACCGTGTGGTATTCATTAAAGCACCACATCAAGGAGCCCAAGCTGGCAAAGTTAGACTTATTGCACCAGCCAATGAAGAAAAGACTGTTATTTATGTATTAAGTAAGAAAACTGATTTGTCTGAAATTCAAGCTGATGTACAACAAGCACAATCTGAACCTACCAAACCAGAAGTACACTTTATTAAATATAAAACCAATGAGGAAGCTGCTCATGCACAAAGAACAATTCAAGGTAATTTTAATTTTAAAAGTAATAAATCAGGAAAAAAATTTTCTTATTGAAAATCTCAATTATTAAAATTTATTTTAATTATCGAAAAATTTTACTAGGTTAATGATCATTTACAAAGGAGTGCTATAAAAGTTTTAAAAATGGTCATTAACGTAATAAAGCAAAACCAATTGCAATTTTCAATAAGTTATTTTTTCCTTTTGGAAAATTTTTTATATGAAAATAAATTTAATTGAATGTTATTATTATTGCAGCTGATTATGAAAAATTGGGTGGTACATCACAAGTATCTGATGAAGGTGTGGCTCCGATTCAATCAGTCATTGGAGTTTTGGGCGATTCATCAACTGGAGGAGGGCATTCAGGTGGCAACCTCATCGGAAGTGGATCATTCACAAGTTCCGGAGGAAGTTATAGTCAGGGTTCTATTAACAGTATCACTGGAAGCAGCTCTATTACTGGTGGTGGTGCTCCAGCCACTTCATATTTACCACCAAGTCATTAGAAAAATATAATGATGGTAAAATCGTGGGTGGGTGAATAAATCTGTTTGTTATGTAAATATTGAAAAAATGAAAAAGAAAACACAAAATTCTCTTTTTATAACTGAATTTGTAAAATAGTATTTAATTAAATATTTGTTTTTAATTATAGAAATAATTTTTTATTAATTGTTAATAATTTTAAAGAAATTTTTGTCATATTATGTAATATAAATAGTTTACACTGTCGTTCATATGTACTTTAAACTGTTGAAAGAAAAAATAAATGAGCACAAATAAAAATTAAATATTATGTACTAAAAAATACGAACATTTTTCGTCAACAATCTCGGTTTTTAAAATTTGATAGAAAATTTTAATTCTTTTATTAGCAAAATAGTTCGTTACCAAAGATACTTTTTTATACCTGAATTTGGGAATTCGTTCTATATGCATCCAATTGAATATGATGAAATGCTTGTTCATTTTCAATTGGGTTGTAATCAAATACTGCATAAATTATCAATAAGGGATCTCTGAAAATATAGAAACGCTTCCTCAATCTTTCCAAAAAGTACAAGTGCAAACGAAAACTGTTTTGATATTAAAGAAATAAACCACTAATCTGCGGTTTTATTTTACGACATTGCGAGCTTTTTGCAGCCACTTATAAAAACTGTTGTATAAAATGCTTGCGGAAATTGTACTATTAAGAACACCCTCTTTTCTATTTTCTACTATAGTTATAAATTACGATTGTAATTTTAGTTTTTCAACATACTTTTGTACTGACTCTAAGGTTAAACTTAGGTTATTGAAATTTGAAAAAAAAACCATCAAATCACATAGGAAGTGCAATTATTCGGTGTTCTTTAAAAATATTTTATGCCAATATTGTTATATTTAAGCGGTGATAAAATATCGGATGACCTATTTTAACTTATTCAAATGTACTTACATACATATTAATTTCATTACAACTCATTCTGGAACGTGTTACCTACTACTGCTTAATACCAGAAACTTTGTATTTTTTCATTGCAAATTCTTTTTTATTAAAAAGTAAAAATTAATTTCCATATGAATTCGAACAATGGTATATAGTGAGTGATATATGAATAAGTAACTGCAACCCATTATTTAAGAAGCACTGATCTGTAAATATTCATTCAAAGCAATATTTTTAATATCTTCTACTCCAAATTTTGTATTCTTCTTTGTATCTTTAAATTTTTTTTTATATTTTTCGGAGATTTTTTAACGTATAAGCATAGCAGTGTCAACATTGTATATAGATAACAGGATGAATATCAATTAAAAATTCATAAATTATCGTATTCAATAGAAAGTCTCAAACTGAATCTTTTCTGTTAAAGAAATCTTTTGAAATAACTTACAATGTTGTAAGTCACCTTGACTTTATTATAATAATAACTACACTTGTATAATGGTTATTATTTATTTGAAGTTTAGTATACTGGTTTTTGAATAATAAATAATGTACAGGTTAATTTTAAAGTTGTCTTCAGTTACATTTTTTGCCTACTTTTAAATTTTGCTATTTTGCTAACATTTAAATGAAAAAAATTATTTAAATGACAATGTCGTTTATAGAATTTTACATAATGTTAGATCAACATATAAAGAAATGGTGACTGTAATAAGAAGATGTTGATATTTTGTGCAAGGTTATACGATTTTTGGTATATTTTATAGTTTAATAACAACGAGACTAGTATTTCAGTAAATATAATTGTGGTATGATTAAAAGATGTAGGTTGAGTAAGGCAAATTTGTTTATATATGTTTCTAATTCTGAGTCATAAAACAGTTAATGAATCTGTTAACTGAAACTGATTGTTATTTAAGAAAGAAGATTCAAAACTATGCAAAAAAAATTATTCTAAAAATTACCATTTTCCATTCGATTAAAATTTTTATAATACAAGAACTACACACAATTTTTTAGAGCGATAAGATCGAGATATTACTTACTCAGTAAGTTTTTGAAATAGTATAGATGGTTAAAGATTGTTTTACAATAAAAATTAAATTATGCACTTGCAATACCTTACCATTTTGAACGAAATAAGCAGTAAAATACTCCTAATAATAAGGATTAATATTTGACGTACTGATTCAAAAATAATAACAAGAAGTTCAACAAACTCACATTGAACAGATTCTTTAACAATCATTAAAATTTTAGTAATATACGTGTGTTTACTAAATGTACGATAACATTTTTTATATTACCTACTGCAAATATTTCCGTGTAAATAGAAAGTAATACAGGTATAGTGAAAAAATTTGTTTCATATATTTTAAATTTGTGAATCAGTAGAGGAACTTCGTGCATTGTGGACCACCCTTTATATTTTGCCATTTATCTTCAGCAATTTTAAGCTTTCACAATCCAATATAGTTTTTCTAATTGTGTAAATATTTGAAAACCCAATGATATTAATAAAATTTATTTAGTACAGAATTTGCAGAAGTTATAAGTGAATGAAGTCCAAAATGGTTACTTTTTATTTTGAAAGAGTAATGTGGACCATACGTTCGGGTAATTTAGACTACTGGTCTACTTTAAATATAATACGATAATCTGGTCGTAATATAATATAGTAAATTTATTAAATATAATTCCATCAACCATTATGTTTTGTCCCTGGGACAGCAAACGTTTTTGAATCCCGCAAGACCCCATTTATCCCTTTTTAACAGCTGTTGTTGTTCCTATAATAATTTCGAAAAATCGTAGTTTTTATTTTCTTTAACATTTTCCTAAAATATAAAATAATTTTAGCGTGATATCTTACCATTTCAGGTAATGTGGACTAGTAGTTCAAAATACCAGAACTGCTAGTAGTCGACATTACCCCCAAAAATCCCTTTTTACCGTTTTGAAAAAAAAAACACGAAAATTTGCCTGTTCGTTTTGTTTTGTTGTCTTGGAAAGCGAAAATTTAGGGCTACTTGGAAATATAAGTAAATATTTACACAGCAAAAACTCGGATGAAAAAATAATGTAATACTCACACATGAAATTTTTTTTATTTTCTCAAAACTCACTTTTCAATTTCTAACTAAACTGAATTAAAGAGAGAAATTAGTTATTATACATACAGTTGCATTTTTTTTCATATTTTGATCCGTTTAATTTGGTTGAACGAATCTTAATCCGGTCCGATACCCGACCGCCGACTGGTTCACTATACCCGAAGTTCCTCTACCTAAGAAATAAATTTGAAAAATCAATTAAACATTACAACACAGAGCAATTGCTGAATACGAAATTCATTCATATGATAGTTGCACGTATTCCAATGTGACGTTGTTGGCATAAAAGCATAATTTTAATATTAATGTAGGCATGATTGGTCTTATAATCAAAAAGTTATATATTCGGTTTATTAAATATCCAAATTAATAGTTTTGTTAAAGATTTGTCACTAAAGGATTTTTAGTTGGATTGTAGTTATGCGGTATATTTTCTACATATTATTCGCAATGTTTAAGAAGTTTGTTATATGTAATTATAAAAAAATGTTTGTTTAAACATAAGTTCAAAGAATTTATTGACCATATATGCTTGTGGCTGTACAAATACATTGTACTTATCAATATTCACATAAATTAATTCATATTCATTTTTATGATTTTTAAAATTTTGCAATTAATAATATTTCAAGTTGTAGACTGAGACTCAATTTATAACAACAAAAATTCTTAAAACGCTCTCTTGATTATCTTGTTAACCAATTAAATTTAACAATTATTGCTTATTTTATTTAATTTTATTTAAAGAACAACTCCGGATACACGATATACTGAAGTAAATACACATATACAATTTTAAAACTACATGTAGTTTTAATATCCGGTATTTAGATTGATTATTGAAAATGCATAAATTTTTTATAATTTTCAAATTATGATTAATGAATAATTAACAGATCCATGCAGAATTGCAGTGATGGACAATCAAGAAAACCAAAAATTATTAATTTTAATTTTAATTCTTAATAAACACGATACACTGATTTAAGATAGACCATTAAATACAAGGTTAACAATTATTAATTTTAAAAGCAATTAACACCGTTCTTCGTTTTCTGAATTTTTAGAAAACTTAATTTTAGTGCAATAGTAATAATAAATCGTTGAATTTCAAATTTGATAAGAAAATTTTCGCATTTTAATTAAATGTGTTCAAAGCACAATTGTAGTTTTAAAAATTCAGTCCTCTAAGCATTAAAAAGCAAGTTGTGCAATAATATTTTGCTTTTTGTTGAGAATAAATCACGACGAGAATTGGTTTTATTTAGACTTTTTCGTTCAAGTCGTATAATTAAAATGTCAAGTTTCATATTTTAAATTAACTAATCTTATGCCAATCGTTTTTTTTTTATAAAGTTTGTATTCTTTTGAGTCAAATATGTAAAAAAATCGAAAAAATGGACCGTTCGTCAATCAACTTGCTAAAATTATTGGAACAAATATAAAAAATATATTATTGCTGTCCAGTAATATTATTCCTGGCAAATGCCATGTCAATTTCGTGATTCCCATATGCAACCATATGTAAAAAATCTTAACAACTTTGACTTTATTTTTTAGAACCATGGCTCTGCAAGTTCAATGTTTTTGATTTGAATTTTCTGAAACATGAGTATTTATTTTGGCTTAATTAAGGAATAAATTTAAATCTTGCACGAAAAAGAATATTTTATTTGAGTTGGAGTTGTTATTAGAATTAGAACATGAAATTTGTTTCCGTTTTTTTTTATCACGAATTTTTCTGCCTAAAATGAGCAGAATTTTTAAGAATACCTTTTACTACCAGTACGGAAGGTCCAATAAGTTGCAGGAGGGAATAATTTAATTGCTACGGCTTTTGGTCGCTTTTTTTCATCTTCTTATTAAAATCTTACTATTCATTCTCTTCTTAATGTCTTATTATGTTTTCATTAAAGATATATTTCAGTTCCTTATGAAGAGTAAAAATTAACAAACAACAAATGCTGGAAAACTATAAATGTATATGTGTATGTATATGTTACCTTATTAAATGAATTTTATTGCAAAATATAAGGGAAATATTTTTCATTATTGATTTTTTCATGCACTTGCATAAATTTAGAAAAAAATTGCTTCGTCACCGCCCTCTAAACAAAACTCAATATTGAAATATTTCCAAATATTACCAATCTTAAATATTAATTTTTTTTTCAATATTCTTAAAATTTGGTTTGTGTACATACATATGTACATAATGTATGTAGGTATATTTGTATTTTATGTTAAAAATTAATTTAAAAAAACATCATTAATCTTATTTTTTCTTTCTAGGCTTCATTTATATTCAGGTTTAGTGAAGAAGGTGCATTTGACTAAAAAAAAGTAAACAAAAATTTTATTTTCGTTTTCTTAGATGAAGAGAGATGGTTATTGAGCTAAAGTGTTAGATTGAATAATATATGAATTTGCAAATATTCGAGGTAAAATTATTAGACCGCATGTACCATGCAAATGAGTAAAAATGTAACAATCTTATGAACTTTTGTCTTAAGATAAATTTCTCAAAAAATTAATAGAAGAAATAAATTATTAAAATTTAAGTTTTACAAATTTAACCGATAGACTGAAACTATTAGATTTTGCCTTTATATAGTTGAGAGAACTTATGAACTTACTAAAATATTAAACTTCTTCACAAACGACAAATTTTAAAGCAGTAAAATCTTAATAAGGTAATTTACAATTTATGTCAATAAAGGATGTTCTAATTATGGATACTCTTATCGTAATTCTTATATTTGATAGACCCTGTTGAAATATATTCCAAGTTTTCCCGACAGTGTTATAATTTCAAGTTTACAAACAAAATTTAAGTCACCAATAAATTTTAGAGCTAATTATTTTAATTATTTTTTGTATAATTGAATTGCAAAAATATTTTTTTTTGTAATCAAATAAAAAAAAATGTTTTTGCAATAGAATTTTTAATTAAAAAAAATTTAAATGGCTTTTACTACTAAAACCCCATTTAGGGAATTACAATAATAAGATAAACTTTAATTTTTCCACATTATACCTACTGAACTTCTTATTTCTTTTGTCTACTTATACTTATACTTTAATAGCATTATTCATTAATTTTTAATATTAAGAAAAAAAACTAATCAAATTTCCATTATTATGAAAAATTATTTCTACCACTCTTACAATAGTACAGTGACCAAAATAAAAATGAAAAATTAATTTCACAAGGTTTTTAAAACAATGTCAAAAATTTTGATTCAATATAATTTAAACCGCCATCTAAGACAACAACCATTCATATAAATTTTGTGGTTTCTGACTTCTTATCTGATTATATAATTTCATTAAGTATTTAAATGCTCAGTCAAAGGTTTATCTTTTAGATTAAATTAATAAATTACATATTATGTATGTGTATGTCCATACAATATTGTTGAAAATTTACGCACATATTTTAGGCTTACCATATTTGAGTTAAATATTAGGTAAAAGTAAAAAAAATTCGGAGCATATACGAAATTCTTTTTGCAAAAGCAATATAATGTTTTCATTTATATAACGAAAACTAAACGAAGGTCTTGTTTTTTGCAAAGATGCTGTATTTTACTTGTGTTTCGAAGAACAAATTTAAGGGTTTCTTTTGCATGTGCATTTTTTTAATTATTATTAATGTGCAGAATAAAAAATGTATTTTGACCGCACCAAATCTCGTGAATGAAATTTTCACAGGAATGCATTCCTCTATGTTATGAAAATATGCCATTTTTAGAAATTTCTGTACACTTCTGATCTCAGTTTCGTCTAAATCGAAATTTTTAGTCTCAATCTATTTCGACTACTAGCAGTTTTGTCAACTTTTGGGAACGTAAAATTCAATAGACGGACCTTTACCATTAGGCGATTTTACAAATTTTAATAATTTTTAGGGATATAATTGCATGATTTCATACAATAGAATATTAACCAAAATTTCTTCATCAAAATCAGGAGACAATTTTGAAATTGTACTAAATTTTACAGTTCAACCATGTCTATGTAGGGAATTAATTAACTGAATCTGAATCTAGAATATGAACCAGAGCTAAAAACAAAATTTTCATTTCTAGTAATACATGATAATATTAAAGTTAAACTAAAATTTTTCTAAAGATGCAACTGAGAAGAAGTTAAAAATTATTGTCCTTTCGTTCTAACTTTAGTAGTATTTTAAGAATGTGAACAGTTAACGTTGTCTATTATAAAATTTGATAAATAAAATTTCCTAAAGCTTTATTTTAAATCAAAGTATTTTATCATATTTTTATTGAAGTCGAATGTATTTTAATCTATTCTAGCGTTGGAATGGTTATTCCCGTATGAACACATTCTCAAAGGGTGTTATGAATTATCCAACCCGTTTGTAATGTTAAAAAATATATTTCTGGGGTACAGTCATCAGTATTCGTTTTTGAACAATGATCACCGATCAGTAAATTTTCATAAATTATTTTTTATGGTAAATGCCGTAGCCCTATTTTGACCTGGATGTAATTGAAGCAGTATTTCAGGCAGCTGTAATGCAACTTCAAAAGTCACTTGGTCATACATTTTGGAAGCTATTGAAACTACAGTGCTGAAATTTTTCACAACCGAATATAAAGATTATTTTATAAAGTTTTGCGATTCAAAGTGAATTTCTATCTTGCGTATGCAAGAGTTTCAATAAAATATTCCATTTTTGATTAGTATCTTTTATACTAATGGACAAATTCAGTTTTACAAATTGAAAAGATTGTGTGAATAATATATTACACTTACAATAAAACTACTACACAAAGAAAAGGAGAAATTTAATGAAAGCAAAATTTTTATTAGCTTAATTAAATTATAAAATTAAAAAAATAAACGAAACAAATTGAATAAACAAATAAGTAATAAAAATTTGAATTTCCGTTTTTCTTTGCACAACAAAAAAAAATGTACACCTATCTAATTCGCTGTAAGTACACCTTACATTTTTTTGAATATTGTACGCGTTGTTTTCATGAGTGCTCCCGGACTCGGTATATCAAATATTGTAATTTTCTATTCAATTCTGTTCAATAGAAATGTTGGAATTAATTGGAACAAGTTTGCATAACTACTAATTTCTAGCATTGCTTTACATAGACTGGTGTGGTTATAAGAGTACAGTTACAATGTATACTGTTATATGTATAAAAAGAAATTTTTGTGAAAACCTGTTAAGATTAGCTGATATTGATGATGAGAATTTATTTAGATACCGATTCCTTCCTTCATTTCTTGAATATATAAGGGTTCGAATACCTTAATATACATGTGTGTATCGATCCTTGGTATTTATTTTATATGTGTTATCTTAAGATAATAAAAATTCTTAACAATAAATCTATTCAGGTCTTTTGAAATAAGCTTGAATAAGTAGCACCAACATTTTAACAATCATAAAATTGTGCACCTCGTTACAAAAAAATTTAATAATAAATACCTGTCTGTTAGAAATCATTAAAATATTTTTGGGTGAACTTTGGATAATTTTGTAGCAAATTAGTTCCTCAAAATTAAATTTGTATAGGTAGATATTTAATTATTTTTGTGATACCTAATAAAATATTAGTGCACATCAACTTTATTTCGAATGGTAATATTCTAATATTGAATATAAAACTAGAAACCTAGGTTTTCGGAAAAAATGCATGAGATGATACAAATATACAGAATAAAGGTATAGAATTAAACGGTTTCTTTAAATAATCAATCATACCAACCATATCTCTATTACAATTCATTTTTTTTGAGCACTTCATTTAGGGGAATTTATAATATGCGTTACTCCACCAACGCATTTTAGCACTTCATGGGATATAAAAATGGTAAGTAACAAATAATATGGTAACCCTAATAAAAGCCATAAAAGTACATTAATATGTGTACCCAAATATATGCATCTAATATGTTATTCTTCTAAGCATTCGAGTACATCTAAAACAAAAATTTCATAATTTCAGAAAAACAGAAAAAAAATAGGAAAAAATGGAAAACATAGAGAAAAGTTATGTGTACAATTAATCTTATGTGGATTTTTGTTCGATTGATGGACCCACTTATAAAATAACATTGTACTCAAATACATTTCTACTGTACTCTTATTTGGGGGAATCCTACAATAAAGTTTTTTGAAAAAACAAAATAAATAAAAAAACAATTTTTGAAAATTTTGTTTTTTATTTTTTTTTTGTTTTAAATTTTTTGGCTTTAATGCGAAATTTTTTTTTCTTTTTTCCAAACTGAAATATTAAAAATTTTTGTGGCGTTATAGAAAAGTGAATTAACATTTTTTTTTCTATTTTAATTTTTTATTATTACTATTACCATTATTATTATTAATTTTTATTTTTGTTGGTTACTTGTACATTTTGTACAAATACAAAACCCATTTTTTTCCTATTTTTTGTAACTTTGATTGTGATATTTAGTGTTAAATTTTTTAATAATATTTTCTTCACGGTATATAAACATGATGAGGTATCGAGTTCTTTAGTTAAAATTAAATTGAATATCAAAGAAACAACATCTAAATAAAATATAATTATTGTTATAAAATAATTATTAAACAAAACATGAAAGGATTTATAGTAAGGATAAATAATATTAAGAATCAAAAATAAAAATATAAAATAATTAAAAACGAAAAGTAATTAATAACAGTGATAATTAAATTAATGTTCTTTCGGGTGGTAAAAAATAATTTTTTGCTCTTCTTTAACAAATTATCGAAACTTTTTTTTTTCATATTTTGTTTTCAAAGATTAAATTAATATATTAGAGCGCCAGCAGACAAAACCCAGATTTGTTTTTATTAAATTTTTGTTTAAAAATGGTGTTAAACGAGAAATAAAGTAAAAACGAAAATAATTACAGTGCCCCTACTGAGTCTTATTTCATAACGGATATAAATTGTTTATTAGAATTTCTAAAATTCTATAAATTTGCTAATTGAAGTTCTTAATTGTAATATGTAAAAAAATATTTGAAAGTTTTCACATTAATTAAGAAATTGGTATTTATAAAATATTTCGTAAAAATAGTGACACCGTAGTATTTAATCTAGTATTTGACTTTGAGTCTTATGATCTTACTGAGAAACTGTAACATCCTGAATGCGGTTATTCCAATAAGAGCGAAAACGTGTTAAACTTTCAAGGTTGTACTACTTAGTATACGTTAAAACAAGTATATGGAATTTACTATTTTTTTTTATCATTATTAAGTGACCAATTTATTTTGGTATTCTTTAAGCGATATTTGTTTCATTTGACTAAGCAGATTTAATCTGCCATATTGTCTAACAAAACGATCTAAAAAAAATAAAGTATTATGTATAAAAAGTATTATTTGTACAGTATTATTTGCCAAAGTATTGTTAAACTTTGAAAAAATTGGAAAAATGGCTAACCTGAGGGACACCACTTATAAGTAGAAACTCCAATATATGAGAATATCAAAATTTTTGTAGGACATTTTGTACTTGTTGATTTGCTACTAACAAAGATTTTAAAACTTTAGAAAATTTTAAAATATTCGAATAAGAAATAATTTTAACAAATTTTAATTAAAATTATTCAAAACTATTTAATAACACTAAAATTATATTTTATGAAAAGGTTTTGCTCTGTGTTTTTGGAGTTAGTGTTGCAGTGCCGCAATATAATTATGCAAGACCTAGTCATGGTGGTAGCTTTTCATCTGGATTAGGATCCCTTGGTGGAGCAGGTGGATTTGGTGTTCATGGAGTCAATGGAGGTGGTGGTTTCGGTGTTGGAAATTTGGGTGGCGGAGGCGGTAGTTTCGGTGGTGGAAGTATTGGAGGTGGTAGTTTTGGTGGCGGAAGTCTTGGTGGTGGTCATTTTGGTGGCGGTGGAAGTGGTCGTCATTTTAGTGGTGGACATATCGGCGGTGGTTTTGGTGGTGGTTTTGGCGGTGGATTTAGTGGAAGTTCTGGCGGATTTTCTCATGGAGGTGGACAACAAACTATTGTCACTAAGCAATTCTTCATTCATTCAGCACCTGAAGAACAAGATGAAATTGGTGCTGATAAAGTTATTAATTTAGGGCCAGGACGTAAACATTACCGAGTTGTATTTATCAAAGCACCACACCAAGGCGTACAAGCAGGTCGTGTTAGATTCCAAGCACCAGCCAATGAAGAAAAGACTGTTATTTATGTATTAAGCAAGAAAACCGATGTTTCAGATATTCAAGCTGATGTACAGCAAGCTCATTCTGAACCAGCTAAACCAGAAGTATTCTTTATCAAATATAAGACCCCTGAAGAAGCTGTACATGCCCAAAGACAAATTCAAGGTAATTTTTTCATGTAAATATGCTTTATAGTTCTTTTTGCTAAAAAAACTAATTGTGCGCGGAAACTTTAAGTTTTGAAGAAAAAAAAAAGGCTTGCATTTGCTTTTAAAATTTTGATAAACCGTTATTTTTTACGCCATTGGTTAATTACTTACCACATATTTAAAAACAGGATTATAAAATTTATTTAGTTCAAGATTATAAAATTTATTTGGTTTTTTAATTTCATAATTTTAGCTCAATATGATTCATTGGGAGGCACATCACAAATATCTGATGAAGGTGTTGCACCTATAACATCTGTTGTTGGTGCTTTAGGAGGTGGTTCTGGTCATGGTGTATCTTCCGGTCATGCTGGAGGTTTTACCAGTGGAGGGAGTATTGGTGGTGGATCTTTTGGTTCTGCTGGTGCTGGCATTGGTGGTTTCACTGGCGGTAATGTTGGAGGTACTGCATATTTACCACCTCATCCATAATCGAATCGACTAAAATAAGGCTGTAAATCTATTTTATGAATGTTAATTTTATTAGATGATCAAGATGATATTTAATACTCAATTTATGTTTGTTGTTTCCTTTACATTTTATGTATTTTTAGTATTTAGTCGCAGTATTAGTTTTCTTCATTAATAAATTGAAGAAAAAATAAAATAATATCGATGAACTAATATATTATTGTTTATTCATTTTTGATCTTTCCCCAGCAATAAGAAATACGTATTTGTTTTTCAGTAGTTGGTAAAGCATTATATGTGTCGCAGATATTTTATTAATATTATATTGACAGAAGGTAGGTACATTACGATTTGTGTAATTCAAAGGACAATAATTATTTATGGTTCAAAAATATTATATGAGATTTAATCATTTAAGCTGCGAAGCGTATTTTAACTTCGAATTTTTGATACAAAACAATCAAATATTTTGAGGCTCTAATATCTCATAGTTCCGTTAACGCTTTGTTACTGAAAAATTCAGTTAGATTAATCCTGTACAATCCTCAGCTTATAAGTAATGATTGCTAAACAATTCAGGAATCATTACTTATAAGCTAAGTAAAATTTTATGTATCCACAGTAAAAGTATACACCTCCAGTAAATTTTTTTGATGGTTCTTTCGATAGTTCCAAGATATTTAAAAGATTTTCAAAAATATAAGGTAATAAGATTTCTATATCTAACTAAGAAACTAAGTATTGCAACGAAACGAGTGAAACAAAAGTAACGAAACGATATCAAGAAGAAAACAAATAATTTAAAATTTATTTTTACAACTTTATACAAACTTTTACCAACAAAGATGGGTCATTCTAGTCTGCATATGAATTTCAATTGTATTTATTCGTATGAACCAAAAGTGCAACTAAAATTTTTATATATAAAAAATTTGCTTGTATAAATATGTATACTTTTTAAACTTTTTAATATATACGAATTTTTTGGCTTCCGACTTCTACTTCCCCAGATATGGAGCTTTATTACAGACCTTTAACTTTATATTGGTTTACATAAAAATGGTTACACAGATATTTTTTTCTAATGTTGTGTTAAGTAAATTTTTTTTTTAATTTTTATTCCTGCTAACAAAATCACAAACGAAGATCAAAGGTAGTATATACTCTAGGTATTTTTAATTTTTTCAATTACTTTTTTTTGGATAATGGTGTGCGTAAAGAAATTGGATAAGATTTCTATAAGAGAAGAAAGAAATTACTAGTGGTGTTTGTTTGGGTTTTCATTGAATTCCAGTTGGTAAAATTTAGAAAGAAAACTATTAAATGCATACTCGTTAAAAGGCAATTTTTCGCAGAAAAAGTTTCTAAGTTTGGCTGACTAAAGATTTGGAGCCTTGAATTTGTTTTGAGTGATTTCCGAATACATTAGTTCTGAAGCTTGAAAAATGAAGCCTATTTTCTCAAGCTCTGTGTCCCTGAACAAAATTTCTCTAACATCTTTCGATGTTATTGCAGATGGAGCTTTGAGCTTTGAATATCATTCTTGACCTGGTTAAACCTGGTTTGAGAAGTGCAAAACTTTTAATGGTTTGTGAAAAATATTAAATTCTTGATGTGATATAAAGTAAATTTAAATCCGTAGTATTATTTAGAAACAAAAGAGGTTAAAAATTTTTTTAATCCAAATTTATTTATAAAAGAGGAAATATAATTTACTGTAAAATCACTCTTTCTTTGATTATTTAATAGGAATGTAAGGCTTAAAGTATAAAACGAGTCGTGTGTTTTTTCTAGTCTAGTAAAGTCTAGAAAATAAACGACATCAAAAATTCGGGAAAAACGGATTTTAAAGAACGGACATTTTGTTTTTTTAAAGTTCAAGTGTGGTATGCTACAATAGAAAAAGCAACCCACTGCTTTTCTGCGTTTGTAAAATTTAAAAATTGCTTATGGTTTCACTGCAATAAATAGTTAAGAAATGCCGTTTTTATGGTTTTAGGTGGGTATATATTTTAGAGCAGGAGACACAGGTAAATATTTTCTTCTGTGGAAATGAGTATCTAGTAGAGATCTATGTGCATGTAATTTCATTTTTCTATCTTCAAGGGTGTAGAAGCACTTTTTTTCAAAATTTTTTTTGAAAAAATGCTAAAAAGCATTGAATTTCTATACCACCACAAAGGTTTTGGTGCGTTAACTGATTTTTTTATGTGATCAGTTTCCTCAGTAAGCTTATGTACAATAAACACATCTTAAACCTATAATACATTTTCTTGTCTACAAAATAATCTTATACATACAGTCAACATTGACGTCTTATCATTTCTTTACCTTGGCGCTCTATGGAAAATTTGAAATTGATTTGGGATTGAGGTATCAAATATTTAGTATTACTGTTAATATTCTGCGCTTTCAATAAAATTCTGGTAGCTTTAGTTATAATCGATTTTATTCCATTTACTAACCCGTCAGAAATGTTCAAATTTCTTTTAAAAATAATTAATGGACCTTTTTTTTAAAGCTAAGTCATGGTCGACTCTTGGTTGCGCAACTGATTTTAAAATTTCCGGGCCTAAGTGATTCCCTGGATTGGTGCTCTGTGTATGGAGAGAAGAGTCAGCACTATGTAGATGGTACAGATTTCCTAGCAGGACATTAATACTTTCTTATTTATTTCCCCTATACAGACATTAGTATCAGATAATGTCGCTTGTTCACAGCACTCATTGGGGTTTCTTATTATATTTCTTGGAAATACAAAACTTAATTTATTAATTTCTCAACGGGTGTCTCAAATAGGATATTTGGAAATTTTGTCGTGACGGAAAGGTCTTATCCGTCATTTATTTTCGCTGATGGAATTTTTACCTCACCAAGTCCACGTATAAGTACAGAAAGTTCTGCATCATGAACTGCACACATTGAGTGCAATGAAATAAATATTGAGAAGTTCTGCCACAATATTGAATGTCGCAACGATAATGAAATAATTTTTTTGCCGGGAAAACTCCTGGAACAATTGCAGGAATTTGTCGAAAATCTCCCGCTAAGAAAATGATTTCCCCTCGTAATAGATTTTTTTTAGTGCGCCATTGCTGCTTCGTCCAAAATTATAAAATTCGTTTCATTTATTAATTCAGACCGCTCACTTGAAACAGCAGCACCACAAGTTGCGGTGTCATCTTGTAAATTGCGCGAAAGTTTGAACATGAAATGCACTGTTTCTTCTTCATGTGCTAATGCTGTAATCACGGTTAAGGTTATAGAAAGAAGGATCTTTCCCATACTTCTAAGCTTTGGTGTTATGTTTATAAAGTGAGATTGTTTTTCCTGTCCCGGATGGACACCCTAAAATTTTTCGAATTATGGAACCACAGTTTTCCGGTTGATTCTTCATTACAACAATTATTTTAAAATATATTTGTAGCTGATCACCGTTTAGTTCGGGATTTCATTGCTTCAAAAAAATTTTCGCAATTTACACGCGATAAGTGCATTCTTCGCCTTCCTAATTTAAACGAATCATCAATTATTTTTGATACACTAATTTTTTGTAAAGAGATGCCATGATATCTGAGCATACGGTTTATTTCAGAAAGAATTTTGTTATTTGCTTAAACTGAAGTGAATCCTAACAAGAAATCTGCAAAAAGGGAAGTTTTAAATTCATGCTTCAATACTATGGCTGGTCCCCTGTTTAAAATTATTATCGTATGCAATCGACGTCCTTAAAACTACATATGTACTTCTTCTTATGCTTCAGCGAAATCAAACGAAATTTTTAATATATTTTTAACAGACAGACTAACAGCAAAAAAATATTTTTCAACCGCCAAAGATTTCGTGACGAAATTGCCAAAAAGATAGTATACCAGACTGAAATTTTTCTGTCGTTAGATAAGAATTGTCTTATGGAAACTTATAATTTTTTTGAAATTCTTTCTACACGAGAATTTATTAAATTTATATCAATGGTCTAAATATATTTTTGCCTTGAAAAAATTAATATACTACTTCAAAAAACAATGGTATACTCAAATTTTTAATTTTTAGTATATATGTATGTATGTACAAGTACATATACACCAAAATCTATACCAAATACTTTTCGAAGGAAAAACAAACATTAAAAGAAGCTTTAACATAATGGTCGATTTCCGTGGGTAATTAAGCAAGTTAAGATAAATTAATATTGAGGCCTTTATTGAAATTTGGAAGGGCTTTCGGAAAATTATCATTAGGTGTTTTAAACTTTACAGCGACATCAATTCGAGTCAAACCGAATGCAACAAAAGAAAAAACAATACTGAAAGGGAGTCGATCCAACAGTATATTTGAAGCATATCCAATTACAAAATCATAATCATGTCAGATATTTTGGATTTTTAATAATGGTTTCTACTTTTTGATGTTTATGAATGGTTTATGCATACGTTAGTAATTTGATAAGTTTTGTTAATATTATGCAATCATCATTTGCAAGTTAAATCTGCAGAAATCAAAATCTTTTATGATCATTTAATAATAATTATAATTGTTTCAATATTTTTCTATTATTTTATTATAATTTGTTTCTTTTTCATTTTATTATTAATGGGAATTAAAGGTATTAAAATATTTTAGTAATAAATGTAGCCTTAAAAATATTTTTACTATAATTATTGTTTTATTTTCTTACATTGATCAGCATTTATAGTGCTGATATTCCTATATGTACAGACCTATACATAAGTCATTCCCACTAAACAAGTAGGTGTTCAAGTAAACAAAAAAAAAAAGATTACGGTCTCAATTATTTTTTCCAAAAAAAAAAACAATAGAATAAGTATGTAAGTAAAAATATATAATAAAATTTCACTGTTTCAATGGATCCATGAATGTGTTGGCATATTTTAAACGAAATGTTATTTCCATTGTTGGAAAGAATTTAAGATTAAAGATTATAAGAAAAAGTAATTAACGCTTCAATTATCACATACATTACAATGTATTTATGGAACTTAATATATGGCGATAATAATTTGACACCCGTTGCTTGTCGTTTTATAACACTTATATAACACTTATTGTTTTTACTCAAGCTGAAATTTTGTATTACAATTCCTCTTCCAAATTTCGTTTCTCATACGTTACACATTTCACCAATACTATAATTATCATGAATTGCATTTGCAATGGCAAAATAAGTTAAAGTAATTATACGAATTGAACTCTGCATTTTTTATTTTTTAACACATTTTCATATGAGAAATTATCAATATTTATTTTGAATTTAATTGGCATCCTAATACTACTCCTACAGCTCCATTCCTATTTAAAATGTTACAAAATGTACAAGCTTATAATTATGAAATTTAATTGGAAATTATGATTAAATTATGAGATTATGCTATTTCCTTTTATTTTGTTGTTGTAATGCTACATTTTGTTCGTCGATATGTGGTAAAATATACTGTTAAGTGCCGAAGTTCATAAAGTGATGTGTGAAATTTCCTATATAAATAAATGTTAATTTCGTAATTTTTTATCAGTACAGTTTAAGTAGTTTAATAGCTTTATTAAGTTCATAGAAGAAGTAAAAATATTAGAGCATTAAGTAAAACAATGAAAGGATACATCGTAAGGATAATTTTTATTAATATCAAGAGTATATAAATTTATAGAACCCTTTATACATAACTTAAAATTGTATAGAATTGTGCTTCTTGTTGTACTTGTTTTACCAAGCTCCAGTAACTCCAAATAAGGTTTATTTCACGTATTTTAAAAAATTAGTTCTCAATTACACAAAATGTATATTGAGAATAAAGCAAATTAATATTTTAATTTTATTAATCTTTAGTGAACATACATTAATTAAGAATAACTAATAGAAATTTCTTCATACAACTGCACATCAGATGAAAGACGTACTCAAAAAAATGAGCTAAAGGCAGAAAAATAAAAAAATTTTTCTTCTCGAATTGGATTCGAACCAGCGACCTACCGCTTTCTAGGCGGACGCATCATAATTAAATTATAAAAGGAATTCGGATTATTTCAACTCAGTCTACATATATAAAAGAAAATTGTACATACATACTTGCTAAAAAATGTATTGTTTAAAATTTGCAAATTTTTTTAATTTTGTGTGATGAACAAGCAATATGATTGTCACCAATTTTTTTATACAATTGACAAAAAAAAATCTTAAAACATTTTATGCATAGATCTAGTTACAATATTTAAAATTTTTTTTAAAACATGCATCAAACAATATACTATTGAAATATTTTAGGCATTTTTCAGTATTATATCGGTAGCAAATACATTGCCACAATATGATTATAAGGTTCCAAGTATTATTAGAGATGAAAATCCGTTTTATAATGGGGCACCATTATCATATAATGATGCTAGTCCAATTAAAACAATAGTTACAAAACAATTTTTTATACATGCTGCACCAGATGAAGAAGATGAAATCGGTGCCGATAAAGTTATACATATTGGACCAAAACAAAAGCATTATCGTGTTGTATTCATAAAAGCACCACATCAAAATGTACAACCTGGTAGAATAAAAGTTATTTCTCCCGAACATCAAGAAAAAACTGTTATTTATGTTTTAAGTAAAAAACCAAATGTGTTTGATATCAAAACTGAAGTACAGCAATCACATATAGAACCAACGAAACCTGATGTTTTCTTTATTAAATACAAAACCAATGAAGAAGCTGTTCATGCGCAGAAACAAATTCAAGGTAATTTTAGTGTGTTACATACAGTTTTAAAAATTTTACAAAAAATCAAAGTACAATAAACATTAAAAATAGGCTAAAAGTTATTTCATAATTTGATAATTAAAATTTCTCACATATTAATTGAGTAAAAATTGTATTGCGACTTTTTATTTTTATTTTAACGTTTCTTGTGTTAATTAAACTACATGATTTCAAGTTTTCTATTTCTTGTTTTTTTCATAAAGTTATTTATAATTTTTTTACATAATTTTTTTTTTATACTTTTTCATGCTACATGTTATTGTTTCAAATTTCAACGTAGCTATTCTGTCTTTCTTATTTTCTCTAATTATCTGATTATTTAATATGGGTACATAAATATTTTTGTTTTTATTATTATTTATAGCTCAATATGATTCACTGGGTGGTACTACCCAAATATCAGATGAAGGTGTTGCACCATTAACATCGGTTGTAGGTGCTTTGGGACATTCATCAAATGAAGAAAATAATTATATATCACCGGCAACGGCCAGTATTACTGGTGCTTATCTACCACCTAGTAACTGAATATAGAAAAGCAAAAACAAAAAAAAACTGGAAGAAAAATATTAAGGAATTTTGCGATTTGTAACGATTTTTCATTTGTTTCAAAGGCTCACACATAGTTTTCTATTTTTACAGCAAGACATATTTATTGAAATGTATTTGCTCATACAAAATATGTATGTATATGTGTAAACTTATTAATTGCATATTATTTTTGTAATAAAAAAGTAAAGAAAGGAGCTTTGGTGGAAGAAAAGCAATTTGTTTTAATTTTGATCCAATATGCAGTAGCGATCCGTACCAAAACTATCGCTACTTTTAGAGTATAAGTATAAATTTATAGTTACTTTTAGCCAACCAAGTTCAAAATCTTTATTCCATACTTGAGTTGCATAAATTATTTTTGCTGTGTAAATGTTAAAGGTGATATCGCAACTACTACAGCAGCTAATGTTTTAAAAGGTCTCCAGATATTCTTCAAAAAACGAAATAAAAAATAAGAATCGATTTCGGCGATGAAAAAGGCTTGAAGTGAACATTGTTTTGAGACAAGGCCTTTGTTGTTGCAACTAAAGAGCTTGTTTAGTGATATTTTAGAGCAGAAAATAAATTCATGAGAAATTTCACTTTTATTTATTTGTTGTTTGTAATTTTTCTAAGATTTCTTCAGGAGTTTAACATAAGGCGACAAAAATGTCCAAAAATAATTAGGTGCCCTTATTAAATTATGTTAATAATTTAAGTTAAATTAGAAAAATTAATTTGTGATCTTCAATTCGTTCAATGAACAAGAATTACAAAAAGAAATTTTAAGTCCATTTCAGCAATGAATGGTAGATTTGAAATTTAATAAACGAAGCTTTTAGTGAAACAATTCTCTTTGAAACGTTTGCTGTATTACTTTGCTATGTATACGACCCTGTGTTTTAATGAATAAATAAATATATATGTAGATATCTCAAATGCATATACTTGAAATGTCAATCAACTTGAATATTTACAATTAAAAGTTTTTAATATTACATGTCATATTTAATTTTTTAAAGAACTTTTTTCTTGTAAAGTTTATGAGAAGAGTTTTGTATTAACCTTCTGCAAATTGGTAAGATAAACTGTAATAGTTTGTTTTAGGAAAGGAGAATTTTTTTTCTTAATATGTATAGAGATTGATATTTAATTGTATATCTTTTCGAAATTTAAAAAACAGGTATTTGATTGAAGAACGGATTGCTCTGCATGATAAACAAGTCTGTATCAAGAAAGCAGAATCGAAATGTACTATGCCTGACTTCTAATTTGAAATTCAGATAATTGAGTTTTTATATTAAGTGGCTCAATACCAGTGCACGGTGGTCGAATTAAAGTTAGAATTTTTAAAAAACATGCTATGATATAGAGAATCAAGTATGCTTAAAAAAAAACTTTGCAAACTCTTATGACAGACATTTTAAACGAGACAGAGATGAAATTTTGAAATTATAATATTAATTAATCTTGTTATACATTTTCAAGTATATGCCAAATTAAACAATATTTTAGAGTTCTCCATATTAAATTATGTTTTGAGAATGATCATATTGATGATGAAGTGCACAGATATGCCTTAGCTACTTGTAGCAAATTTTTAAAATGCATTTCTTACATCAATACTAATTTCGAACGGCCCTCTTTCTGTTGCATACGTTTCAGTGACGTATGTGTATTAGTTCCCGAGATTGGTGTGGTAAGATATTTTAGGTGCAAAATCGAAGTAGACAAAATGCTAGGTACATCAGTAGGTATTAGCAATTTTGACACTATAACCCATTTTATACTAAGCGCACGATTTTTCGGTGGACACTTCTCGAATTTTATTAAAAAAACTTATTTGAAATCAAAAACTAATATAAGTAGTTTAAGTAAAAGAAAAGAATAAAAATTTAGTTATGCAGCGTTATTCTAATTAATTGGCTTCTTTTCCTAAAATCGGTAAACTTTCAAAACTTCCCTTACAAAATTTTAAATTTATTGCTCAGATTAGCGCACAGACATGACTACTCCATCCATATTTAACGCGGAAAATTTTTTTGTTAAGTAATTTTATTTGAAATATGAAATCATTTATGTTTAATGAAATTATCGTTGCACGTTAGTTGATTGCTGAAATTGCAATCTTTACGCTCAAGTAGAATATTTCTTGGAAAGTAACTTAATGTTTACACATATTTACCGAGAAAACCCATTTTTATGTTAAGCTTACATTTTTCGCCATAATATAGGACTGTCATCTAAACATGATTTTAAAATATAGCATTGACTATGCCATGCTAAGTAAGCGTGATAAGTTCCTGCAATAATTTAAAAGAAAATACTTATGTAAGCGAAAATTGAAATAAAAACGTCAAATTAAACAATTATAGGCGTAAATAAGGAAAACCTAAACTTTTAAAATTTGCATTTGAAAAAATTCAGCAAGACAGAAATGGAATTTTAGGCTCCATATAAGATCTGTAGGATTGGAAGCATAATATTAATCTGTTACAGAATGAGATCTGTCTGTTATTAAAGCTTAAAATTTACAGCTTAGAGCGAATCAAAAACTGTTCAATCAACTTCAATTTAAATTTTAGTGAGAATTACTGAAAGCAATTACAGTGAATTTTTTTTACGAAAAGTAGGAAAGCGGTTTTTTCGATTCGGATTTTTGTATATAATGCAAGTTTTGTTCTTTGCAGGGAGGAATTATTACGCCTTTTGAAAAATCTGAAAATCTGTGATACCCATTGTTAGATTAACATTCAAAAATCAATTAAAAATTTTTGCAATAAATCTTCAATCGTTTGCAAAATTTTCCCGTTTTACTTTTTTTTTTAAATTAAAATTTCCAGAAGCTTCAATTAGATATAATAAATAGCAAGACAAATATTAACTTAAATTTTAGAAATTTACATAAATTATTCTAGTATAAAAAAGTGCTCTTTTTTAATAATAAAAAAAACTATAAAATTAGGAAACTGATTATTACGACCTATTAATCTTCTATATAATTTTACAATAAAAAACAGAGAGTTCAAAGATTTATACAAACTTTCTTCAAAAAACTCTCAACAAAATCAACGAGATATATGAAAATTTATGAGTAAAAGTTCTCTGCAATTTTTTTAGCACTTATTTTTCACCTGATTTTAACGCTTATTATTATTACCCCGTAACATAAATTTCGTGCAGGTTTATTTAATTCTGCCTTATATTCAAGAAATTTCTATGTATATATACAAATGTACATACATTTACCTACATTTACTTGATACATACTAGTATTTAGTCAAATTTATAATTAATGTTTTTTAACAATAGTCGTCGGTTGAACCCATTTTCTATTCAAAAACTAAAATTTCTGCGGATACAAGAAATCATGAAAAAACAAAAAAAAAAACGACCAACCAAAATATGATGGTTAACATTATAAAAGTTCATCAATAACTATACCTTGTCTATTGCTTGACATTATTGCTTCTGTGTCTGTAAGTGTGTGTTATTATTAGAAGATAGTAAAGTGAAAAAAAAACATCACATCATTTGATCTTTCGATAATTTTTTTAATACCTTCAGTCATTGTTTATGATGGGTATAAGGTATTATAATAATATAGGTAAAAAAAAACAGCATCTAAAAAATTAACTACTATTTTTATTTTTGTTTTTCTTGGATTTTAGAGCATGTTTTTTTGATACTTTCATTTTTATATTTTCTATCAATTCTTCGAAAATATTTAGTATATAAGCGAAATAATATTCGCAATTCTTCAGTAACTTATCTACTTATCTCAAAGCAGAAACAACAAATTTAATTTATTTTAACGGAAACATGAAAGGATATCTTGTAAGGACATACGACTATTTAATCATTCCTGGATTTTTTATCATTTTTATGGATTACTTTTAATAATTACAATTTCTTAGGTCATTCTTTTATCTGTTGGATTAACAGCAGCTGCACCACAATATAATTATGCTCAACCATCTGGTGGATTTGGGGGCGGATTAGGTGGTGGCTTTGGCGGTGGGCATTCAAGTGGTGGTGGTGGTGGTGGTTTCGGTGGAGGTTTCGGTGGAGCTGGAATTGGTGGAGGATTTGGCGGCAGCAGTGGTGGTGGCGGTTTTGGTGGTGCTGGAATCGGTGGTGCTGGTGTTGGCGGAGGCTTTGGAGGAGGCAGTGTCAGCGGTGCTTTCGGTGGAGGCGCTCATCAGCAAACTATTGTCACAAAACAATTTCTTATTCATTCAGCCCCACAAGAACAAGATGAAATTGGAGGTGATAAGGTTATCAATTTAGGACCTGGCCATAAACATTACCGCGTTGTGTTCATCAAAGCACCACATCAAGGTGTACAAGCTGGAAAAGTAAGATTCATTGCTCCAGCTAATGAAGAGAAGACTGTCATTTATGTTTTGAGTAAAAAAACCGATATTGCCGATATTCAAGCTGATGTACAACAAGCTCATTCAGAACCCACTAAACCAGAAGTACATTTCATCAAATATAAGACAGCTGAAGAAGCAGCACATGCTCAAAGGACAATTCAAGCTCAATACGATTCCATTCAAGGTACATCACAAGTATCAGATGAAGGTGTTGCTCCAATTAGTTCGGTTATTGGAGCTTTGGGTGATGGCGGGCATGGTGGTGCTGGCGGTGCTGGTGGTTTTGGTGGTGCCGGTGGTTTTGGCGGTGGCGCTGCTGGTGGTTTCGGAGGTGGTTCTTCTTCAGGGGGTTTTGTTGGCGGTGCTGGCGGTAGTGGCTCATTCGGTACCACTGGTGCTGGTGTTAGCGGATCTTATTTACCACCAAGTCATTAGATGTAAATATTAGACTGACTGTATTATCTCTTTTGATGTTTATGACAATAAATTTCAATGTTGTTTTTGAGAATTTATTAATTAAGAAATAAAAATAATTAAATGAATACTTTAACAATATTTTCACTTTACTCAAGCACAAACAGTCCTCAAAACTTCGAGATGATGTGTAATGCTTTACACGAAATATTATATGTAACCAAAGTATAATTTTCAAAAGATTATCATGGTCAGCAATTTTAACACAATAAAAATTTAATTTTATAAATAATGTGATTACGCTTAAAAATCGTTTGCAGCACTTTTATTACTCATTAACCATAAGCGCAATTAAATTATCTTTGGAATAAAAATTTAAGTAATTACTTTTTTTTACCAAAAGCGTTTTTTGATTAAAAAAAAAATTTTTACATTAATGCGGTCTATCATTACTTTATGAAATCAAACAATAAATACGAATTGTACCTTAACACATACATACGTGATAAATTTTGGAAATTCCAAAATATTTTGTTAGATAATTTTTTATAATTTCATCTTATTAAAAGTCTTCGTGTTATTTCGCATGAAGGAAAGTTGTTATTTAATTTTTAAATTTCTAATGATTAATCAAAATTGCAAATATGTAGAAATATCGCACAAATAATTAAAATTAAAAGTTTTTATCCGACACAATGGTATTTATTTTCTAAATTATGAAAAGTTTTCATTTACGTAATTGGATACCAATAATGTTTTGGAAATTATCTGTAAACAACAACCTCTGCATTGAGTGTTGCGATGTAAAATAGAAACTTATTAAATTGAAAATGATAAAAAAGTTTTACTGTTAAGTTGTTATTTAATGGATAGCTCAAATTTGGAATAATAATTGCAGTATCACATATTCGATAATTTTGATTTAGTCTAAATCATGACCACAGTAATGTCTTAGCAGATTTTAACCTATATACATAAATAATTTTATTTAATTGCAAATATTATCTTTAGTTTAAACTTTTATCTTGGCAAATATTATTTCGGAAAATTTCTTCTTTTGGGTTTTTATAGTCAAATAGATTAACTACATTGTTCAGTAAATTGAATTAAAATCAGTAAAATGAGTTGATGCTCAAAGAACTAAATAAAATCCTATTATTATTATACAAAATAAGTATAAAAAGATTTTCGTGTAAGAAAATTAATTATAGAAACTAATTATTTAAAGAAATAAAAAAGCCTATGAATTTGATTATCTAAATTTAAAACTGCACAACAACAACCAAGAAGAAAATTTAAATATTCGTTTAGTTATGTCAACTTTTTGATATCAACATGAATTTGTTGAGCGACAAGAGTTCTGCACCAATATAATACAATCTACCTCAGAACTAAGAGAACCTTGTTTTCTAGGTAAAATGATTCAAATTAAATATTTTTGTAAAAAGCGAGCGGTATTAATTATTACTGTGATTTTTAAGACATTGAATGTACCTCTGGTATATATTATCACATATCACGTTCATTTTCTAAAGGTGCTAGTTCTAAAAGTAAATTGTCAGATTAACGATATTTACTAAACCAAAAAGTTGTGTGTGACAGATAAAGTAAAAGGATTTTGTATAAAATAAGAAGAAAATTTTAAATATAACTTGAATTTATTTAATAACGTACAGTACCAATTTTATTTATTAATAAAATTCTAATAAAAAAAATAAACTTTTGCATAAAATAAAAATTTAATGAAAAAGTTCTTAAATAAAATTTAGTACCAAATAATTAATAAGCATTTTCAATTGTCGGTATTCCTCTACTTTTGAATCTCATTTTCTTTTTGAATTGACATAAAAGGATAATTTCGTGACTCACTTCCTGGTTTTATTAAAAGTATACACGATGGACAAATTAAATAAACTTTAATTAGTGAATAAATTTATAGTCTAATCACTAAGCGACGTGTAGAACCTATATGCGTAGTTAGTGAAGACGTATAGATAAAATATTAAATAAAGTTGTGTCAAACTAATAGCTTGTATTGTTACACTTTTCCCTTCAACAAGTGAAAATACTGCTTTTAAATACTGTCTATGTATAACTACCACCCTATTAAAATTATTTTCATTCATAAACGAAACTATTTCTAGGATTGCATATATTTAGGATGAACGATTTATGTAGTCTTTAAAATAAAGCAAAAATTAATATAAAGTGGGGTTAACATAATGCTCGATTTTAAGGGTTAATTTCGTGAGTTAAAAAAAATAATTATATTTTTTAATGTCATGGAATTTACCGTTAGCTTTTAGCGTTTATAGAAATTTGAAAAAGCTTGCGGTTTCGAAAATATAAGACATCAAACATTCAAATTTTGAAAATTTCAAGCAGCAATAACACTTATAAAAGGGGATGGGGATGGAAAAAAATTTTCTAACGAAATTAACTATTTAAAAAAGGGCATTTTTAGGATTTTGGGGAGGGGGGGGGGGGGGGTATAATTTCTAAAGAGGGGGAGATACGTAAAAATTTTGTTCTAGCGAAATAAGTTTCTAGTAAAGATTGTAGGTGTTAAATTTCAGGTTCCTATCTTTAAGGATGTAGAAGTTTTGTAAACATGTCCGAGGACGGACGAACGGACGGACAGAGTGAAACTAATAAGCACTTTTTTTAAAAATTTTTTGGAAAAGTGCTAAAAAGCAGGTGAAAAAGCTGAAGTTCTTGTACCAAATGAAAGTATTACTCCTACAGATTATTTATGAATATTCCTACACTGAATTTATGAAAAATAGTACAAATGATGCAGACAGACAAAAGAAGCAACACAGTTAATGAACAATATTTATTAAGAACTTTAGGATGTAATTACAAGGAAGATTTAAGGAGGTAGTAGGCATTTACTTGAACTAGGAGCTACTTTTAGCAATACATATCTTTATTATTAAAACTTATAAAAATAAACTGAATTTGCATTGATTAATCTTTGTACTAAATTTGTACTAAAAATTTTTTTATAGAATATGAGTACAAAAATTAATTTCTACTATATTTCCTTTTATTTAACTTTCTTTGTTTGATATTTTTGATTTATAGCGAAATTTATAGAAAAATCGTTTAAGCTTTAACTTTTGTTTTAAAGACACAGAACTCCATTATGATATTATAGATGTATTTGAGCTTATTATGTTAAGTTTCTCATACGCATACTCTTCCGCACAAAATACTTGAAAATGTCATATTGAGCTCTGAGTTTTAGTGAAATTAATTGGGAAACTTTGCACGGAAATCCAATTTCCGTAAAGATGAGCCTGCACTATAAACTAAATTTAAATTTTTTTGAAACATTAATTTGAAGTTTATTTCCTCCCTTTCATAGAATTTAAAATAATTGTTTGATGGAGATTTCCATGATCTAATGCAATAAAATGGCAGTTGGGACGTTTATATCATATATTTTAAAATAAATTTGTTATAAGAAGTCAAAATTCAATCAGTCATAACTTGTTATCATTACCGTTCGATTTTAGTCGGTTTTTCAAGTTTTCTCAAAAATTGTATTTTGTAAACTAAACCTCAACTAAAAACCAAATTTGCATTGTTAAAAGTGTATTTAATCTTTTTACTAGAAGTTTAATAATTTACTTACTAGATTATATTAAATAAATGTCTACAAAATATTTTTTAATGATATAAATCTATTGTGAAATTTATTGAATTTTGAAATACATAGTACAATTTTTTAACACAAAAAAATTACAAAACATACATTTGTGAGTCAGAAAACATTATGTCCTCAAAAATTATTTAATTAGATAGAATATGATATCAATTGATTGTTTACATACGCATCTTATGTTGGCGCACTTTAAGAGTATGTTAGTAATTTTATTAATATAAAATATAATGAATAATATGTATGAGTATAGTATGTATATAACGTTTATATGTTTCTATATTACATAAACAAACACATGTAACTAAATGTCAATGTTAACATAACGGAATTAAAATAATCGCTTAAAGACCAAAATTATAATTTACCTTGCAGACATCAGACGGCTTTCTCGAATTATCAAAACAAATTAAAGATTAAAACGGTCAAAATATCTATTGTCACAGCTGCCATGTTACAGAAACAGATCAATTTCTACAATCATATTTTTATAAGGCTCAATGTTAGTTTAAACAATGTTCAATGTTGCGTAATATTTTTGAGTAGTACCAAAATAATCCGTTTATTAGTTGTTGGAAATAGTCGTTAACATTTTCAAATAATATTTTCGTTTAGAAGCGTTAAAAAATAACATACGAGTACATATATTGTATGTACATGTGAAAAATTATGGTATAAGGCACAATCTCTAATGAGCTACTGAACCTGTAACACGTATTTTTCTTTTCTTTTTAATTAATTTCGTCTTACACAGTCAACAAGTGTTGTAAGTGTGCCGCAAAATTTAGATATCACAAAAACCTAAGATAAATTAAGAAAAGTAAAAATAGAAGATACGCTATGTTCTCATAAGGTACTCAAGGCAAAATTACAGATACGTTTTTCTTTCATATTTAATTTGAAAATTCGATGATGTTTTTTTTAGTAAGAAAAATCAGTTAGATAAAATGACTATTATAAAACATCTACACAAATTTTATTAATGACTATTAAGAGTATTTGACTAAATGTTAGTCAAATACTCTTAAACAAATGGTACAATATACATTTATTCCTTTCCTTATAAGAAATGAAGTTAATCAAGCCCATGTTTTGTTAAATAGCACATTTAAATTTACAATTAACTTTAACAATTATAATTTAGATTCGTGTATTTTAGATGTGTGTAGATCTAGGTTTAAATAATTAACAAAGTGTTCTAACGAAAGAACCCTTTTATTTTCACGCAATACTGTAATTTAAGATGAATTTTAAGGCAATAAACTTCAAAGATTGAAGGTAATATTTTCCTACTTGAAGGTAATAATTTACTCTGAGCTACAGGATTTATACCTAAATCAAATTCAGTTTTCAAATGCTTAGTTATTAAGCAAACAGCCCTTATTACAATATTTTGCGAATATATTTTTGTATCCATGTTTGAATTGAATTTGAATAAAAATTTCAGGCATAGCTTTAAACAAAGCTATAAATTTCTGAGTACACTTGCTTGCTGTTGTTATAAATTATTCTGTTTAACTTTATAATAATTATATGGTTTATGAAAAACTGTTTATCATTCAGAAATCATAAAATATATCTTGTATTTAATTTCTCGTTTTATAAAATTTATCTTATGATTGATCTGAATAACTCATCTCTATTTAGTTTTCTCTATAATTATTATATATTAAATACTTAATTTTTAATTAAATGGAAGTACAACCTACCGCTTTTACTTATCTTTTATTCGTTCGCATATTCGCATCGTAATATTGAACTGAAATTGGAAGTCAATCAATTATTATTTCCTCACAGTATCTTGACATCCGAGAAATTAAAAAATGTAAGATAAAGTTAAACACATAATTTTTGGCTAATCATTATATTGGGGCAACAAAAAAAAATTAATAAAAAATGAAATTCCAAAAATTTTTGAAAATTATTTTAGAAATTTAATAGAGTAAATATGATTTTTACTTTCATTTGAGATCGACTATAAAAGTCAGATCGTCTTTTGATACATTAAACAAACCTTAAGGTATATTTGAAGACAAAACAACTTGCAATTATCTTAAATAGAAACATGAAAGGATTTTTAGTGAGATTATATTACAGAGATACAAATTGTTCAATTGGAAATTGGAAAATTGGATTAAAGAATCCTTTATCGAGAAACTTGTTACTCATTAACGGATAAAATTTCATTTACGGAAATTAAACGGAATATTTCATTAATTAATTATGATTATGTGACATATTTGTGTTCTTAAGTAAATTTGTATAACAAGGTTATACAAGGATATTATACAAGGATAAACGCACTGGACGCAAAATTTTAACTATATTAACATATTAAAAACAATTTCCTTTTGAAAAATTTCTAAAGCTGGTATAATTCAAAATTTTTCATATTAATTTTGATTTTTTAGGTAATTTTGTTGAGCACAAGTTTGGCATTAGCTTCCCCACAATACAACTATGCGCAGCCATCCGGAGTAACTGGTTTAGGACATTCAAATATAGGAAGTATTGGACATGCGGGAGGTGTCGCTCAAGGAATTAGTGGAAGTTCATTAAATCATGGTATTGGCGGTGGTGTTTCTCATACTGGCATTGGCCACGCTGGCCATGGTTATGCAGCAGCAGGTGGTCAAACACATGAAACTATTGTTACGAAACAATTTCTTATTCATTCGGCTCCACATGAACAAGACGAAGTCGGTGGGGATAAAGTAATTAACTTAGGACCAGCTCGTAAAAACTACCGTGTAGTATTTATTAAAGCACCACATCAAGGTGCACAAGCAGGAAAAGTAAGATTTATTGCCCCAGCAAACGAAGAAAAGACTGTAATTTATGTATTAAGTAAAAAAACCGACTTGGCTGATATTCAAGCTGATGTGCAACAAGCCCATTCAGAACCCACTAAACCAGAAGTACACTTTATTAAATATAAGACCGCTGAAGAAGCAGTACATGCTCAAAGAACAATTCAAGCTCAATTTGATGCAATTGAAGGCAAATCACAAATATCTGATGAAGGTGTTGCCCCACTTACATCTGTCATTGGGGCACTCGGAGATGCATCATCTCATGATGTTGGAGTGCAAGGAAGTGCTGGAAGTTTTTCTGGTGCTGCTGGTGGTAGTGTCAGTAATTCATATTTGCCACCAAGCTATTAAGTAATTGCATTTAATTAGACTGAAAATTTTGGCAGTGTTTTTTTGATTGTAAAGTTGTTTTTGTTGCTTATTATTACTAAGCCATTGCGATTATATTAATAAAACAGTTAATATTATATTTTCTCACAATGATTTGTTTTTTAAAATATTGAAAGCTTTGAAAGAGGCAAAGTGTAAGAAACAGCAATTTATATTTGCATATAAATGTAAGCATATAAATACGTTGTATATGTTTTGTGCTACCTTTTTTATTCATATAAATCTCAAGGGTTTTAAGTTGATAAATTAGAAAAAAGACTTTTAAACAGAACCTGAAAAATACGTTTAATGCGACTAAAATGATGAACAATGTTACTATAGAAACAATAATATTGTATTTAAATTTTGCTATTTATTCGTGATTCTTATTCCTTAACAAATAGCCAAACTTAATTTTGAATTGCAACTGGGTAATAAAATGATGTAAATCTATTTGGCTTCGCAGTAGGACTATAACTGTAATTATGTTGTATAAACCAAAAAAGGAACGAAATTCGAATACAAAATTGAGAAGGATACTAAGCTTAATTATTATTTAACCAATATATACATAACTTCGTGCTAGTTATTTATGTATTGAACATTGCAATTTCAAAATAATTTTGTATACTTTCAAATTTAATACATATTGTTTGTTATCAAAGAAGCTAGTTTATTATTAAGCTGTAGGCTATTCGATTAATGGTTTACTGAAATACGTAGCATAGCAAAAATATATTTTAATATTGAATTCCTTTTTGGTTTGTCTTCATCCAATTCTGTTCATAAGATTTTTTTTACATTTACATAATTATTTCATATTTGACTTTGGCAACACATATGACAGATAAAAAGTAGTCTTTTGTCAATGTACATAAGAACATGTTAATTTGGTTCTTAGTAGTAGATTCATTTTCTGTGATTCGGTCTCCTTGCAAATTCAAGAAATGAAATATTAAATTCCAAATATTTAAGTTTAAAATATCAGAAAAATCTGCTGATTATTTTCTTAAAAAAAATCAAAACAACGGTTTCCACTGAAAACTGAACACGCAAAATTTGGTGACTTTGAAGATCTTAAATGGTTTTTTTGAAGAGTAAGTTGTACGCGTGTTTTTATTTCTATTTCGCAAAGGTTTACTCTTTAATCAATGTTGCAGTAGAAAAAGAATCAACAAAACGTTTGGAAGATCAGAATTAGATCAGAAAGTTTCCTTTTCATATCTGAAGCAGGGAAGGGATCTTCACATTTGTTTTACTTCACTTAACTGTGAAAATAACAGTCAAGCTAAAAGAAAAGTATAAAAAACTTAAGTCTAAAGTCTTAAACCTGTAATAAACAGTTATTATTTCATTATAGTGATATAAATATTCCAAAGTAAACATAGAGTATATATTGAAATAACAAAGGTTGAAAATAAGAACTCACTTCATACAGGATCGGTATAAACAAGAGTAGGGTTGAACAAATTTTAAAAAACAAGAATTATATAACAAATAAAAAAGTTATTCATTATTCAAACAACAAAAGCAGAAACTGATTGCGATATTTTTTTTTTCTGTTTATAGTTTTCCTTTTTACCTATCGCACTGCAATAAGGGAAGTTACGTAATGCCCTCAACATAGTTAACATTTTCGGGAATCTGCTTTCTGCAATATTGAACTTTTATTATACGGGTCGGATTTATATTCTAAAACTAGTAAATTTTATTGGGAACGTTAGGCTCTGAAACCTATCTCTTAAAACGAACTGATTTTTATTACAGTTAGGGAACTCATTGACAGAATTTCTTATAATTTAATATTTTAAGCATTTGGATGGCATAAAGTGAATCTCTACTAAGAAGAAAATTTCCATTTTGCATTTTCATGTGAATAGAAAACATATTAAGCGTTCTTAAAATGCTCTTAAAAGTGCTTGAATTATGTACTAACCACATCAGATTTTTTTTTGTGATAATTTAGTTCTGTACCATTTACACATTTTATAATGATATATTTATTTACATATTATATGTATAATTATGTATATTTGTACAGAGTTGTGGTGTTTATTAACATTAAATTATGCAAATGGTCACTGACTTATATTGTTTGAGAAATTATTCTAAGTGCTATTACTTGTAATACAAAGGATGTCATTGTTGTGATAAATGTAATTTTACGTCCTGAAAAAGCTTTAAAATAAAAGACTTAATTTTTTTATTAGAATATTTTAAGTTACTTTACAGTAAGTAAATAAATAAATCTACGACTTTATCCTCAAATTTTTGGTTATCCATTTTTTATTTTATAGCTTTGAGAAAAAATTGACAATAGAAGTAAAGCAAGAAGCTTTTGAAATTGTTATTTTTACAAAATTTTAGAAGATTCCATTTTAATTTCAAGAAATAGTTGAAACCTGAAAAACCAACATTTTCCAAAAAGCAAGATTTTATTCAAAATCTGCTACGCAAATGTAAACTCATTCAAAGCACAATGCCCTGTATTTTCAATAACAAAAATTTAGTTTTAAATCAAAGAGAATACAAATTTTGAGCTATATTACATAAGTATGTAATGACTACAAGTTAATACAAGATTAACTGCTAATATATTTTCAATGTAGTAATGGGAACTAGCAATGTACATTATTCACATTAGAGTAAATCCTTGAACTTAGAACTTTGAGAGAGCAAGTTGTGTTTATTTTATTTTCCTTAGAGGAGAATAAAATAAAAACAAGTTGCTACCATAACACCTAAAATTTTAGTGTTTGTAATATAGTTAAGTTCATAGTTAACATATTATTTACCTACATAACACATATTTTATTTATGATGATGTTACCACATCAATATTAAAATCTTAGAATTATTAAATAATATATTACGTTGAGCAATACAGTCTTGCTTAAATGTATTTGTCAACAAATAATTTCGATCAAAATCGATGTAAAGCAGCACATTTTGCTTGAATAAATAAAAATGTTTTAAATTAAAAAAAAAAAAACAGTAAAAGCGTTTCAGCCGATCTTAATCGACTAGTATTCATAATAGTATGAAAAAAATTTAAATTATTTTCATATATCAATAAATTCATATACCAATAAATTTAGCACATTTTTTGGCATGAGAATAAAAATATGTTATGTACATATTTTATTGTTAGCTCACTACTGTTTAAAGCAAATCGGCAAAAACTAACAGAAGATAACGGAAAATAACGATTAGTAAATATTTTATCTAATTAAGATTTATGTATTTTACGGTAGAAGAAACAAGCGACGGTTTTTTTTGTATTAGCAGAACAGAAGAATTGTTTTGAAATTGTCAAAATATTGCATTTTTACGATAAAGTGCAGTTTTAGTGGTAAAATGCAGTTTTTTGACAATTTCATACTGCAAAAGAAGAGGTAAAAAAATCTAGAGAAGTTAATCTATTTGTACATTAAATTTCTTTTTTAAAAGCTGTAGAAGTTTTGTGAATAGTCACACAGACAAATGGACACTATAAAGCTAATAAGCTAATTATTTTCTACTTTTCTTGACAATGTGGTAAAAGTTAACACTCTTTTAAAGTTAAATATTTTATTCAAGTGAATACTTAAGTACTTCAGTAATTTAATAATTTCGTGACGATTACACCATTAAACTTACCATTTTTTAGTTGATCAATAGTCTTTTCTCTATACTTGATTTAATGTGGAAAATTTAAAATCGACAATAAATAGTAGAAGAGCAAAGAAATCGTTCACTTACGTAAATAAAAAGAAGCATTAACAAAACGTCATAACAAAAACTGTTTTTTCTGGTAACTTTTTGTCTCAAAAAAAATTGTATCTATACACGATTTAAAAATGCTGAATCAAATCAATTACATGTCATCATTGCACTTATTATTCGATAGATGTAACAACAAAGTATGCACTAATACACAGATATTCGATTATTTTTAAGCAGAAAAGAAGGCAAAAAACCAATAGAAAGAAATAACAAATTTTGATTTGATTGACGTAGTAATCTAAGATTGTTGCTTTTTATTAGATCATGTCCTACAGCATAATTTAAAACAAAAAGAGTAGCTATAATAAGTCAATAAAGATTGTCTACTCTATTTGTATTGTATTCGGGTAAGATAGAGTAATACCCCTAATATACCGTTATAACAGTAATGTACAGTTACTTTCATCATGACCTGCATTAAGTTTTTTTCTTTTATGTGGACATTATTTAATTTTTGTTTTTCTAATTTTTGTTATTCTTTACTTGTTGTTTTTTTCTGCTTAAATCAAAATTTTTCGGTATATAAATGTGTTGAATTTCAAGACTCCTCAGCAAGTATCTATTTGTTAATTTAAGAAACAACATCTATCTTTTATCCAAATTAAACAAATCATGAAAGGATTTACTGTAAGAACAGATATATATGGAAAATATTGGAAAATAATAGTTAAAGGGAATATTAACCTTTGATATATTTAAATTTTAGGTTTTACTTACAACTTTTGCAGCAACATTAACTTACGCCGCACCGCAATATAATTATGCTCAACCATCAGGCTCTTTTGCAGGCGGTAGTGGATTCAACAATATTGGTAGCGGTGTAGGTGCTTTTGTTGGCGGTGGCAGTGGTGGAAATGGTGGCTATTCTAATGGTAATTCCGGTGGAGGATACGCTGCCGAGCAACCAGCTATCATTACAAAACAATTCTTTATTCATTCCGCTCCTGAAGAAGCAGAAGAACGTGGTGCTGATAAAGTTCTATCATTAGGGCCTGCACGAAAACATTATCGTGTTGTATTTATTAAAGCCCCACATCAAGGTGTACAAGCAGGTCGTGTTCGCGTTATTACACCAGCTAATGAAGAAAAGACTGCCATTTATGTATTGAGCAAGAAAACCGATGTATCAGAAATTCAAGCTGATGTACAACAAGCTCATTCAGAGCCAACTAAACCAGAAGTACACTTCATCAAATACAAGACTAATGAGGAAGCCGCCCATGCTCAAAGAACAATTCAAGCTCAATATGATGCAATTCAAGGTACATCACAAGTTTCCGATGAAGGAGTTGCTCCTCTTACCTCTGTTATTGGTGCTTTGGGCAGTGATGGTGGTTTGGGTGGTCATGGTGGTGCTAGTGGAGGTTTTTCAGGTGCTTCTGGAACTTATGGTGCTCCAGCTAATACATATTTACCACCAGGCCATTAAGCTGCAATATAATGTTTTAAGTTTGACTTTGAAACTCTTTTATGTACAGCATTTAGATAAAAAAAAATTGTTTCTTTGATTAATTTTTAGACAGTATTAGTTAATAGGAATCTAATCATATAAAATAAATTATTACGAAATAAGATAAATACGCTTTTAATTTGTACATAATGCTTTCTTAATTGAAAAAGACAATAAGTTCAACTTTAAAAGTTTGACCTTTTAAAGTGACAAATTTTTTAATATTGTTCAATTTTTTATTGTTCACTTTTTATTTTTTTGTTTTATACAAAATCGAGTTTTACTTAATTTTGACCTTGTCAGAAGACATTTAGTTAGAAAGTAAAAATCATATTTTTATAATTGATGATACTTTTTTATAATTTTATAAGAACTGGGATAATGCATCTTGCAGTTAATTGAATGAAAAATTATATTCCAATGCCAAACTTGAAACTATTTGACTTTTGACTCATAGTTTAAATTAAGCTATTTACAGTTTTAAAATTAAACAAAGTTAAATTCAATATTATGTTCGAAGTTAGTATTACTTCGTTAACCTTGTTGCCTTTAGGATATATTTTTTATATGTATGTAATTTAAATGGGATTTTGCTGTAGTCCTCAATTTTTTAGGAAATTTATTTGTACTACATTTTATTTTATTAATAAAACAATCATTATAATAGAAGTGAAAATTTTTTCACATTTAAGATTTAGTAGTACTAACTATTAATTCCTATAAAGCAAATTATGGGAATGGATGCGTAATACCACTGTACATCTTTTTAATGAAATATTAAAACTTGATTTTTTTAAATTGAAAAAATTTTAATTGCGTGAATTTTTAAAACATTTTATTATAAACAATTTAATCAATAATTATTTTCCAAAACAGTTCATCTAGCTGACTATCAAAGTGCATACTAAAATAGTGTTCGTTCTGTCTAATTTATGATTGCGCTCCAAAAATCGGAGCATTTCATTGAATTTCGTAACGATGTTCTATTACAAATTGAAAAATTCAAGTATACATGACTCTTAGCAAGCTTTAATTGATAATTTCAAAAATAGTCTGAAAATGCCCAAAAACTTGTTGACTTTCACTGATTTTGTGTTGTTTTGAGAGGTGAAGATGCAGTTTCAACATTTCCATGAGTCTTAAATATCAGTCTTAAAAAAATTATAACGTTATAAGTGAAAATTTTCCATATTAAAATACCATAATTGATTTTCTCTCCGCGTAAAATCAACCAGAAATTCAAAAGAAGCGACATTTATATCTTTTATTTCTTATATTGTTGCACTATACATTTATAATAATAACAAATTACGTTATACAATAGATCGTACTAAAAGATTTGATTGCAAATCCAAATTTAATTCATTTTCAATTCAAAAATTATTGAGTTTTTTCTTATTTATTTTTTGTATAACAATTCAAAGTACAAAATAAAATATTTCTGACAAAAATTTCAAATTACAAAAGAAAAAAAAAGTGAAATTCAAAGCAAAAACAAATAGAAAAATTAAACTGTAACAAAAGTCTCCTTCGCACATTAATTATTGATTTCAAACAATAAAAGCTCTGATATAGCACTACTTCAATCACGTACTTAACATAAGCATATAGTAGTACCTACACACTTGAAAAAAAAAATATTTCAAAAATTCCACTTAAATGAATCATTTACCGTACAGGTGTATTGAATTAGTGATACATAAGCTATTAGAAAATAAAACATTCAGAGTAAATAACATCCTAAATGTATGCATTTTTCATATTTAATTGAATTACAAAGTAAATCTATTTTCGATACGCCCAAAAGTAACAAAATTAAGTAATTTAAAAGTTTGTGCGTGGAACTCGAATACTAGTAGTTTAAGTATTATGCAAAAAGAAATTTCAACTAAATTTCGAGTTTTATTTCCGCACCAATCTATTATAGACTGAAGACATTCAAAATATCTTTGAATTGCATTTGAATTTAATATATATGCTTTTATATAAACCGGAGCTTGAAACACATACATATTGTAAAGCTTATGAAAAGCTAAAAAGTTCGTTTTACAAGTAATCCAGTTATTCAAGCTAAAAGTTTAAAATTTTTTAAATAAAATAAGAACTACAATTAAATATGTAGCAAAACTTTTTTAACAAAACTTTATGAATGAAAAAAATTGATAAATTGATAAAGACTTAAAATCCGCAATATACAAGCAAAATATGTGGTATACCAGCAAGTTAATCATGTTTTAAGCACCATGTGCTTTTCTTATTTTTATTTGTTGATATTGAAATCGTGTTACTTTATTGTTTAATTGCAAATAGTTATAGGATATATAAAATTCCGCTCTTCGGATCATTGATTCATTGATTAGAATTCAGGTTATATTTTATACCAGGCGGGCTTTTGTACTCGATTGAATAACAATCACAAATTTTTTAATTCAACCCCTTCAGTGGAAATGACGGGTCTCGTCTGCAATATATTTTAATGTTTAAAATCATATGAATTTCTTTAAACTTGTAAAAACAAAAATATTATTAATGTTGCACGTGTTCTTTTTTATATTCTTTCTAAATTGACTTTAAGAGTTTTTTTTTTAAACCGTTAGTTTGTCTAATTGAAATATTTTACGCGAATGTCTGAAAGGATTGAAAATTTATCATACGAAAGTGATAATTCTGACTGTGAAATATATGAGGTGACACATTAGAACAATTGGAATGTGAAAGTGATAATTCATGGGAAACTGTGTATATCAAGAATTTTTTTTGTTTCATCTTAATTTCATTATTACTTAAAGTTTTTATTTTTCAATTTTTATGTAATATTATCATTACTTAACAAAAACTGCTGTATTACAAATGAAATAGTTTTTACTTTTATATAAATACGTTAGGTTAAATGAGAACAAAAATACTTAAGTTTTATTTTATGACAATTCCACATTTAGAATTGCGCTAAATTTAATTATCTGCACGCGTACTATTCTTCGGAATTTAATCATAAGACAAGGAGTTAAAAAAATTTAATAAAATTGTTCAAAAACTCTTAAATAAGATATTGCTATTCCTGATCAACAATGGACAGTTCGAATCTGCATAAATCAAATTAGATTTACCATAGAAAATTTCTAATTAAATATCAGAAGTAAGATAATCAAAGTAAAGATTTTTAAAATTTTGAAATAAAGAAATAAATCTTGAAAACGAAAATTTCTATGTAAAATTTTTACTTTAAAATTTCATTGCAATATCCCATTCCTAAAAATTTGTGAGTCTTATGATTCGATAGCATTTGCTTTAAATTTTCACTGCGATATAAGAGATATTAAAACTGATTAGTGTTTTAATTTTAGAAATTTCATAAAATAGTCCGCTTAGCTTCAACATCATACGAAGGTTTAAATTCTTTAAAGTTCAAACTATTTTGAGCAACATAATTTAATACATTTATACAAACTTTGTTTTGTATCGAAAAAAGGACTCTCTTTCTAGAAGCGTGTAAAATTTTCTGTGAGGTACAAATTTTCCGTTTTATACGCTCTTTTCATCTGAACATTTTAAGCATTCTGTCTTCTGTTTATATGTTGTCTTCAGCAATATATGATTTTTCACAATTTAATATAGTAAATGAAATTTGAGTTTCTATAAAAAATCTACAAAGAACACAACTAAAGAAAGTAACAAATTATTGTAAAGATTATTAAATTATTGTAAAGGTAGGGTTTAAATGGAGTGAGGAAAATTTTCTTGGTTAATTCCACGAATGCTTTACTAAAATTTCCAAATGATGTAACGAGTAAAACTGTTAATTCTTTTTTTGTAAAAATATGAAACATTAAAAACTGTTTTTTAGTTCAAGTAGAGTGACATATGTAGAATAAAATGAAATATCGTCTTTAAAATAAATAATATTACCTTCTAATTTGTGCTTCTTAACCGATGTTCGTCCGTCTCAACGATAACTCAAAAAAACATTGAGCCTACGAACAAAATTTTTGAAATTTGCTATTGCAACTCCTTTTTATTTAATTTTTATTATTTGCAAAGCACCAGTTTAAGAAAATATCATACTGCTCAAGAAAAATTTACACATATTTTAGAGACTATAATTTAACAAAATTATAAAATTTTATGCGCGAAAATTTATTATTAGTGATTTATTCTATGAATTATTTGCAATACGTTCATACGTGTATGACAAGGTTAACATGATCACCTTTTGTTGCTTCTTTTTTATTATTTTTTTCCTGAGAAATAGTGTGCACATTTGGTTTTATTAATGATTGGTCATTTATTAATAATTGGCCACCCCAAGTAAGCGAGCATGATAAAATTTCAATTTAAAAACGTGCATCTCTTGATAAAAACTTTTAAAAATAAAAATCAAATGTTTTAGACAAAATATTTATTCTATGAAAAAAATATTTTCCATTTATGACACAAAAAGCAAAAATGCTCATTATCCCAAAAATCTTGATTTCATATGACTTTGACAGAAAATGATACAAAGACATGTTAGAGAAGATGAAACGAAGTCGAAAGAAAAGTACTTATGCTTGAGATATTTTTAAAAGTTCTTAACGCATAATAATACTCAATAGAATAAAAATAAAAGTTCCTAAATAACTAAATTATCATAAACTTTCAATACGATTTTATTTTATCCCAAAGTTTTTCTATCAAATTTATTAAAACCTAAAGCTATAGGTAAATAGGTAAATTTTAAAGAAGTAAATATTCCAGTGACTGCGTTTAAAATGATTTACAAACAATCCGACTTAAGATACATAATAGCTTAGGTTTATATTTCAATTTGCTCAAATTTTATTGTTTCAAAATCATTTCTATTTTTTTGTCAAATTCCTATGTTTTCTGAGTTTAAATGTATGAGGCTCAGTTATATTATAAAAGCCCAAGAATTTATTGAGGAAGATTATAAAACACACGAAGACCTTTGCTGTTAAATAATAAAAAATTCCATAAGAAATCTCTTGGTAGAAAATTCGGATGACATTATTCTTGTTAAAGAAAACGCTTTGGATTTTTTGAAACATTGCAATTTATAATAAAATTTTAATATTGAACTTTTGGTTTGTTCATTTGGAATTCTAGATCAATTCCAAATTTTGTAAAATACCAAAATTTGTTTTCTTTTCTCAAGTTTAAAACAATCAAATCTGTTAGGAATAAGTTTTGTAATGCAAGTTTCAAGAATAAACTAACCACATTTCTTTTCAATAGAAAAAAGTGTTTAAAACTCTTTATCATAAGTAAAGTTAAAATGGTTAGATTGATTGGAAAAATTTCTAACCATTTTATTTATAATCAAACTTAATTCGGGATTAGTCCGTTTATTTATTTCTAAATTTAAAACTAAATCTAAATTTATCCTGTATTTTGCACAGAAATTTTATAAAAATGTAAAGCTCAAAAAAAGATCCAAAACATGAAAAAAAAAACAAGAAAACTCCTTTTCTCTGAGTTGCGTAAGCAAAAAAAAACACATAAGTCCGATTAACTAAAATTTCACTGATCGCAGATGTCTTAACAATTCGCAAACTAAAGTTCGAATGAAAACGACAGTGTGCATTTCAGATCAAGTCATTATTTTTTTTAATTTATCTTAATTTTTTATTAAAATTTAGGGATTTTTTTTTTGTTTATTAGCTTTTAAAAATGAATATATAAAAATATTTCAATTTACGTTAAAAACAAGACAATAAAGAAAAACGTAATAAAACATATTTTAATTCATTAACCTTATCAACTGCGCGGCCCAATATTGTGTATATGTAACTATAATTTAATAACAGTCATTTCTATGGCTTGTAAAACTTAATTTTCATTAGTAAAATGAAATGGTAAAATAGTATGAAATATTTACGTATGTATGTATATAAAATCGTTTAAGATTACATATGTACATGTTAAAACAAATAATTTCAAACACATAATTGATTATACATACAGACCTGTATATTTGTAGTTTGTATGCATAAAAAGAAATTTTTTTGTTGGATTTTAGTTTTTAGCAATTTTTAAGCAATAATGTTTTTAGGAGATGGATGAATTGAATGGATGGTCCCACTTTTATTCTACATACATATATATGCATAGTTCAACCATTAAGCTAGATAAAATTGATTGTTTTGTTTAGTTCACCTTCTTTTTGTCTTAATTTTAATTTTAACTATTATATAGTTTATCTTTCTTTTGTATTTTTATTGAGACGAGCTTTCAAAATGACATTTTAGCATTCCATTATAATGATACTAATCACTCAAACTAGTTGACAGCAATAATTTCGGTTATTGATAAACGAGTATAACATGGTACAGTTGTGGTGAAAAAAAAAAAATTATAGCCAAAGAAACAAACAAACGAACACATGTTGTTTAACATAGAGATGACCATAACATTCTCCTAGATTTTTTTATCTTCTCGTTTAGTATATACATTTTTATATTATGTGTTATGGTACATCATTTATAAAAACTTTTTTTTTTGTTAAATTTATCTTAATCTAAAGCAAAAAAAACAATCCTCTTACAAAAAAAAAACAGCATACATTGCAATATTCAAACGAATATTTCAAAAACAAAAACAAATAGCTATTTGAAATTGTCATAAAAAAATCAGTCCAAACCAATAAAAAAAAAAAAACGAGAAGATGGTTACAGATAGCTATTTTTGGTACTTTCATTACAGTATCTTCTACTAAAATTTATATAAAAACTTTTACTATATAAACGAATTGAACTAACAAAATCTTCAGTTAATCTCGTATTTTCAGATCAAATAGTAACATTTCTCCAATTTTAAGCGAAATCATGAAGGGATTTATAGTAAGCATTGATATTTTCGATTTTAATAAAATTAAAAAAAAAATTGTTTATAATTAATTTTAATGTAATCATTGTTTCAGATTTTGTTATTAGCTACTGTTGGAGTTTCTGTCGCTGCTCCACAATACAACTATCAACCAGTTGGTCATGGCGGTGGATCATTTTTAGGCGGTGGTGGTGCTGCTGGTAATTTTGGTTTATCACCAAGCTTTGGTGGCGGATTTTCCCATGGTGGTATTGGTTCTCATGGTGCAAATGTTATACAAAGTAACCATCAACCAATTGTATCAAAACAATTTTATATTCACTCTGCTCCAGAGGAGCATGATGATGGTGGTGCCGATAAAGTTATTAATTTAGGGCCTTCACGTAAAAACTATCGTGTTGTATTTATTAAGGCGCCAAATGCTGCTGTTGGTGGAGGACGTATTCGGTTCCAAGCACCAGCTAATGAAGAAAAGACTGTAATTTATGTATTAAGTAAGAAAACCGATTTGGCTGATATTCAAGCTGATGTACAACAGAGTCATGCACAAAATACTAAACCAGAAGTTCATTTCATTAAATACAAGACTAACGAGGAAGCTGCTCATGCTCAAAGAACAATTCAGGCACAATATGATCAATTGGGTGGTACATCTCAAGTTTCTGATGAAGGCGTTGCACCAGTACAATCGTTCATTGGTGCTTTGGGTGATAGTAATGCTCCAGCAGCTAGCCAAATTGCTGGTACAGGTGCATCATTCGGTTCTACGGGGGCTGGTTTTAGTGGTGGAATTGGTGGTGGAGTTAGCGCTGGTTCTAGTTCTTATTTACCACCCAGTATATAAATTATATTATAAAAAATATAATTCTCTTTTATGATTTAAAAATATTGGAGAATATAAAAAAAAACATGAAAACAATTTTTTACCAAATAATACAAGCTAATATTTTGTTAAGAATATCAAAAAAATTTGTTAAAGTAATTTTAAGAATAATTCTTTGAATTTTGTTATGCACACATTCTATGTAAATACAACAATTTTTTTTTTTAAAGAAATTTATTTTGTTTCTATTAGAAGTGCAAAATTTTGATCTAAAAAAAATAAAGCCATTGATTAAAAAGATTTATTTAGAACTTTGCTCAATAAATTTTTTTTTTTTAATTTTTCTGCACAATCTTCAAGAGATATTTCGAGCCATTTGCAACAGAATGACAAGTAATGCAAAACCTATTGATATATAGTAGACCTAACTTTTCTGAGATGTTGCAGAAGGATCTGGGAATTGAAAATACATACAGACAGAAACTCGTTTCAGATAACGATGTAAAAACCCTAACTATACGTATTCACATGGCATTATATTTAACTATTAGAAAAACATTTGCTGTTTTTTCTATTCATTGGTCTTTGCAAAACAATAATAAAATTAACACACGTTGTTTCATGTATAAGAGTTTTCAAGGCAAAAAAATTTAAAATCAATCAATGTAGCAAAGAAGTATGTATAGAAGTAAATTTTTCTCATTTACCTTTGAAATCTTCGATTGTAAACACCCCAATATCAATCAAGTTTTGCCTAATTGAAAGCCAGATATGATTTATTTCAGAAATTTATATAAACATAATTAACACTTGCAACAAAACAAAAAGCGCTCAATAAAATTAAGGGGAAAACATAACTCGAATAGAGAAAAAAAATATTCATTTATTTATCATCAAACACACTTTGTTACCGACATTTTGATAACCAATAATTTCTAACAAGTGTCTTACGAAAATCTTTTGAAGGTCTTTTGTAACCTCATTATAAATTAAAATATTATTAATTATCAAACTTTGAACAAATAATTTAAAAAACTTCATTTACCTTTAATCGTGGTTTTGCACGCATTTACTAGTCGGTATATATTGAAATCAATTCATAACTTCACAATTATAATGAACTAAGTTTATACCGTTATACCTTTCTGAAAAGCATGTTTTCATCTCTTACTTTTGAATGAAACAAATTGAAATATAGTAAACTAACTCATGATATGATATTATTTTGTGATAAATTTTACCATATAAGCTTTGTATCCCCGTACACATCGTACGAAATAAAGCTTCTGTATGCATCGTATGAAATAAAGCTTCTACAAGCATCATTTAAACTGCCTTGCCAAATTGTACTGTCATGACTGAAAAAATGGACCGAGTGCTGGAAATCAACTCCGTAAGAGGCGAACTAGATTAGTGTACAAAATAATTTTTCTGAGACGTGTTTAAATTATTATTGAAATTATACAATATTTATTTGTTCAAATTGCAAAATAATGTTCATAATGCTATGCGAAATATATCCTCAACAGTTTTCGAGATACAAAGAGTGACCATACTCTTCAGTTAACCGAACTGGATGGCTTTCGAATTTCTTTATTAATTTTCTTGTTATATTATGACATGCCTTAATCGAATGAGAATTTTTATGTTAACGATTTTATGTTTGTATTTCAGATAATTTTTTCTAAACGCTGCGGGTGTAATCAAATTTTTTTACTCCATTCATAACGTGTAAAAATAATAATTGCCCATAATGTCTTTGATATATTATACGCTAAGAAAATTATGTTATATATATATGCATATACGTATATATAAGTATAATGTAAACTCTGACTTGACATGAAGAATATTTTAATTTAATTGACATCCCGTACTTCTCTCTAACTCGAAAATGCTTAGCAAATATTTTTATTTATTTGTTAATTCCTTGGGTCCTCCCCGATAACTTGGAAACTCAATGAGTTAAGATCTTTCCAATTCGTACTGGTTCGTAAAATTCAACGTGATCGTGTCGCGGACTGATTTATGATGGTGGAAGGATGGAGCGACGTGCCGAGTGACAGGCAGTTTTAGCCTAGGCTGGATCTGCGTCGTACCACGTTTTTTTTGTATCTCCCTTGGCGTGACATTGGCACTGTGATAGGAGTTATAAGTGGGCAATGTCTGATTGGCGAACACGCCAGAAGAATGGAACGCTCCGCTAACGACCTTTGCAGGAACTGCCGCGGCGAGGAAGAGGAGGAGGAAAGGATGACTCATTTCCTGTGCTCGTGCCCGGTTTTGGCACGGTGGAGGCGGACGCTTCTTGCATTTCTTTCTGCGAGTTACGGACCTGTCGAATGTAAATGCTATGGACCTAAACTGTTTTATAAAGGACTCGGGCTGGTTCACGTGAGGGTGGGGATATGGAGATTCTGCGGTGTCACAACGGGCCCAAGTAGCCTAAGTGTATCCTCGGATGGCCGCGTCAACCTGATCTAACCTAATCTAACTCCTATTATTAAAAGAAAAGCCAAAATTTTTCTAATAATTCTCAAATAAATAAAACTACAAGTACCTCATAAATACACCATTTTAATAATCAGGCTATTGTTTACAAAAACGGTCGCATTGAAAGTTCTGTGCAATTCTTTGAAACATTCTTTAGTACGGAGGTAACGGAGTTTAAACAAGCAAGCCTCTTTATTTAATTTCGGGATAAAGGGTTTTTAAAAAAGCAAACAACCATATTGCAGTTTAGTTGTGTTTTAAAAAACTTATTTGAAATTCTTGAGAAGAAGCATTGATTAATTATTTACATATAATAAAAGTTATTTTTAGTGATTTGAAAAAATAGTTTTTAGCATTTTTCCAAAAAAAGTTTTGAAAAAAAGTGCTTATTAGAGTCACTCTGTCCGCTGAGATAAAACACTTAAATTTACCTATCTTCCTAGTGGTGAGCTTTTTCTATCGCGCCATAGCATATTTTAACTTTATAAAACAAAATTAACGTTTTTTTTTTCAAATCTTTCATACCGTTTTTCTTCTAGACCAGGGATGGGGAACCTTTTCTCTATATAAGGCCAAATTTTAGTCAATGCAAAGTCAATCAGGCCGCAAAGTTTAAAAAAAGTCCAAAGGTTATAAATTTTTGCTTTGTGTAGGTTGATGAAAACAAAATTATGTCAGAATATAAAAAATAACATTAAATAGTTTATTTCATAAATAAAAATAGATAAGTAAGTATGTACATTATTAATAAAATAATATGGTTCATTATTTCAATGACTTTTCTGTGATTGTTTGTTGCTCGATAACAATTTTATATTTGGTTCCTAGAATCTAGACCTTAGGTTCTAGAAAAAAGCGATATTAAAAATTTTAGCAGCTTTTAGACATTAAAAAACAAATCATTTCGGGAGAAGAAAATTTTTTTCCACATCCACCCCCTATCAAGTTATCGCACCTTAAAGTTTACAAAATTTGAACTTTGGGCACCTTGTAACTTTGAAACTACAAGCTTTTGCAAATTAAATGCAAAAAGCTAGGGGTAAATGTCGTGCGAATAAAAAATATAACTATTTTTCTTAATTCTCAAACTCTCTCTTTTTACCGACCGTATTGTGTATACAACAGGTAGGTTATGTGCATATCGAGTTTTCGGTGGGAATGCACTACTCCATGGTAGGGAAGTGTAAATAAACTATTTTTAGTAACCTGTCGGTCTGTGTAAGCACCCGTGTATCTCAAGTTCGGCCGAACCGATTTTGATGAAATTTTATATGTAAGTTTATTTCGACCATGGCAAGGATTGATCAACTTTTGGGATATATTAGGCCTCGGGAACTGCACTTTTTAGCAGGCCTAATTTAGCACTTTTTTTTTTTGACCATTTTGAAAAAAATTTTCAACATATTTATTTGAAATTTCATATATAAGCTTCGGTCGACCGAAAACTCCTAACTTTTGGAAGAAATCAGGCGTCGGCAACTGGACGTTTACTACGGGCCAATTATACATTTTTGCGTATATAAAGAGAAATAATCAACCGATTTCATTGAAATTTAATATTTAAATTCTTCGTATTAAAACAATGAAATAAATTTTTTGGAAAGATCAGGACTCGAAAACTCAACTTCGGGCCGATTTTACATTTTTCACCATATCTAACAAACGAATTAATGGAATTTTTTGAAATTTGATATTTGAGTTCTTGATATTTGAGTTACCAAAACTTACTGCCGAGCGTTTCAGGGAATTCGGGTAGCACAAATCGAAACTCTACTAAGAGCCAAATTTACATTTTTCTAGGTATGTTAACTATAAGTTTACTAATGTCCTAAAAATGGTAAAGAAGTATTTAGCAAACATTTTTATAATATTCCATAACACTTTCACTTACTAGACAATACAGATTGCGGTCGGTTATCTGCAGATCACATCAGAACAAAAAAAAATTGTTTTATTTCAAGATTGCATACAGTGCTGATTGTATGATTACATAATTTAAAATATGTTCGTATATGAATCAAAGCAATTTTAATAATGTAGAAGGGAAAAATGCTTCATTACAAACCATTGGTTTGATCTAACTTTGTTATTAATCAAACCTTAAAGTTTTATTAATTTCAACTAAATTAATTGATTTTTTGATATCATTTTTGTTAAGAGAATGATGAGAAAATTGCAGTAGTTTAATTATCGCACACATTAAAAAAAATCATTAAATTCCTTAATTTTTTTTTTTTATTTAGTGAATTAGTCAAATAAAATTTTTGAAATATTTTTGGTCACTCTTAATTGTTTAAAATATTTTTTGTTTCTTGCATAGAAAATTCATATGGCTTACAAAGTATTTCTAAATTTAGTTTTATTGATTAAAACCTAATTTTTTTCCATCTGGGGTCTACTTTTTTTGGTAGAAAACATAAAAACGCTGAAATATTTAATTAGTATCATCGTACCATTATTATTTGTATCCAATTTAATTTTAACTTGCAATTAATTGTTATTTTAAAGCGTTTCAATTTGGAAGGTTAGATTGTTTCATTTAATTTTTTATCCATATTAAACATTTTTTTCTCTCAAATTAATTGCAAAACGCGTTAAAGTAATAAAATTATTTTAATTTGTTGAAAAATGATAATAAAAAAACTATACGAAACGCATTCGTTCGCCTTAATTGTACGTTTCATCCAATTTGTACATTGTTTTAACGGTTTTCTTCGTTCCTTTCCGCGTTACTTCTTTTTTTATTTTGTATTGCTTTTTCTTCTCAGATAGACAGTGGTTATTGAACAAATTTATCATTCGTAATAATTATGATAATAATAATAATGACAGGCAAAAAAAAGTACGAAAACACCTAATAGGCAGATGCCCAAAAAACAAGAGAAAAAGAAAAAAAATAGAGAAAAAGCACTAGTAAATAAGTTCAAATCAAACGAGTGTTTAGTTGAAGTAGGCACTTTCGTTGTGACCTTCAACAGATATTTAACAATTTAAATATTTTTCACTCTAGTATATAAACGCATTTATGAACTAGATCTAAAGTCATAAACAAACTATAACTCACTAAATTCACACTTAACATAACGAATCGTATTGAAAACTTTGGATAACAATGAAACAATTTATGGTATGGGTAACTAGGAATTTTTGTGAAAAGGATTATTCAATTTAAAATAAACTTTCATTTATTGTAATTTAAGGTCTTTGTTTTAATGGTTGGTTTGGTTTTTGGGGCTCCTCAATATGCATATGGTCCACCCAACTACCAAAGTCCTGGATTAATTTCTGGTATTTCACACGGACCTGCCTTAGATATTAGAGGAAGTGGAAGTCAATTTGTCGGTGGAAGTTCTGGAGTTTCTTCACATATTGGTCATGGAATTTCTTCAAATGTTGGAGGAAATTTTGGCTCTCATTCTGAACAACATGCTGTAGGATCACAGCAAGCAATTGTAACAAAACAATTCTTTATTCATTCAGCCCCAGAAGAACAAGATGAAATTGGCGGCGATAAGGTTGTAAATTTGGGACCAGTTCGAAAACATTATCGTGTTGTATTTATTAAAGCACCACATCAAAATATTCAAGGCGGAAAAGTTAAATTTTTAGCACCATCTAATGAAGAAAAAACCGTGATCTATGTGTTGAGTAAGAAAACTGATTTGGCTGATATTGCCGCTGATGTACAACAAGCTCAATCAGAACCAACAAAACCAGAAGTACACTTCATTAAATATAAGACACAAGAAGAAGCCATCCATGCACAAAGAACTATCCAAGCACAATACGATCAACTGGGTGGTACATCGCAAGTATCCGACGAAGGTGTTGCACCGGTGCAATCAGTAATAGGAGTTTTAGGAGATTCAGCGAACGATATTGATGGTGGTGGAATTGGTAGTGCTATTGGTAATGCTGGCAACATTGTTCAAGGCTCAAATTCAATTGGAATAGCCGGATCTAGTATAAGTAATGGTATTGGTGATTCCACTGGAACATATTTGCCACCGAGTTATTAAAAAATGAAGCCCATAAAATGTGTTATAAAAATTGTTCTGTTGCATTTTTTTAAGATTCTTGTAAAATGAATATTGTAAATAAAATTGTTTTTAATATTTTCGAAACCTGCATTTTTAATTACAATTTAAATAATAAATATTGGATTATTATAAATATTTCATAAAGACATTGTTGTTGGCATATTTTGAGTTTTCAATACAAACATTCGAATACCATGGCTTCTAAAAGTGATAATAAAATGACATAAACCACTTTTAATTCAATTTCTCTTAATATTTTTTTTTTGTCAATTTATGTACAGTATCACATTCCAATAGAAAAATGTAAATGAGTATAATAACTATACAATTTATAAAAACTTAAGAAGCACTATACAAGTTAATTGAAGGTTTTTTATGCTAAACGTTGTCACGTGCTGTGCTAAACTTACCACTTCGCTAACTATTTTGAAGTAGAATAAAAGAAATTGAAGATTAACATAAATTATCAAGGTTAAATTTTTTATATCACACATTTTAAAGTTTTAAAATGGCTAGAGATTTTTCTACGATGAATAATTAAGTAATTAATAATGCCGTAAAGTTTTTCGATTTTGACGAAACGTTGTGGTCAAAAGAAAATCGTAAAACAATTTAATTTTTTTACTCTAAATATTTTGCGTTTAAGTAGATGATAAATAGCTTCTACAATAATAGTTCATTGTGTTTATGAACATGTAATTATAATCTCTTTAATTTTCTTTCTGTATTTAGTAGTAAAATATTACCCCAACCCAACTTTAATTTTAATACAAGACACTCGGAATCCAAAAATATTAAGCATGGCTTACACTAAAACACATACTCTAACATTTCAGTAAGAAATTGTATCAAATCAATTAACAATTTCGCAAACTTCGTATCAATGCAGGACTGCATTTTTTCTTTTATATACAAGAAGTCTAAGAAGAACTTAGGATTTTTAAAGAAATTATATTAATTTTAGTTATCTTTGTTATATAAAGTGGATATAATATCTAGTCAGTGTCGTGCAAAATAATTAAAAATATTGCCAAAACTTTTTACGTGTCATGTTTGCATTTTTACAATTTGAAACAAGTTTGTGAAATAAATTTCAATTGGGCCAAATTTGTCACGTGAAATAATTTTCCTTAGTTAAAAAAATCTGTTTTGAAATGAACAATGTGAAAAAATTTTTGACTACTATATAAAAAAGAGTATCTTCAAGAAGCAAGAAATTTATCATTACCATTTTTATGCATTGTGCAATTCAGAAAAAAAAATTGTAATTTTGACTTTGAGGAGTCTCAACTTTTAGAGGTTTTTCATGGAAAAATGCATTTGGGTTAAAAATTGCTGTAGAAGTTGAATAAACAAACGAACGCACACGAATATATTTTTATCATATATTTTTGTTTCATATTTGTAATTTTCTTAAAAAAATAAATTTATTAAAAACATGATTTTAACTTTTTCCGTCTTGTGGAATTTTACATTCTGACAATTTCAGAGGGTTGTATTTTTAGAAATATATAGAGCATGGTTTTGAAAATTATGGTTATACGATCAAAAATGGGTAAAACTTTTATTCCGAGGTAGGTGCCAAATATCAAAGACTATTGAAAAAAATTTGTTGAAAGAGCTCATTGACGACATTAGGTTAAAATAAGAATATCAAAACCGCTTGTGCCTTTTGAATAATATGCATTATTATAAAGTATTTACTTTCTCTAGTAACTAGTGAAATGCTCATAATTTATTAAAATAAATTTTAGCCTATATATAATTTTTTAACTATTTGTTGTAATAATCATATTATATTACCTAATATTCAGAAATATTAAATTAAGGTTAAGAAACTACAAAAAGTAAATAATTATAAAGTTTTTGGTATAAATAAAGTTGGGTTAAACCAATGGTTTGTATTGTAGCACTCCAGCAACTGAAAATACTGCTTTTAAAAACAATCTATTTATACCTACTACACTATTAAAATTATTTTTATTCATATACGAAACTATTTCTAGGATTGCATATATTTAGGATGAACGATTTATGCAGTTTTTGAAATAAAGCAAAAATAAATTATAAAAATAAATTATAAAAATTGGTTAACACAATGTTCGATTTTAAGGGTTAATTGTTTGACTTAAGAAAAATAATTAATTTTTTTAAGGTATGGAATTTACCCTTAGCTTTCTGCGTTTATAAAATTTGAAAAAGCTTGCAGTTTACAGTGCCAAATATTCAAATTGTACAAATTTCGGGAGGCGATAACTTGAGATGGACGTGTAGATGGGAAAAAATTTTCTTCTAATGAAATTAACTATTTATTAGTGTCTAGAAGCTCTTAAAATTTCAGACTTTTGCAACCTGTGGTTTAGAAGAAAAACGGCATCAAAAATTTGGAAATTACGGCTTTTAGATTACGGTAAATTTTATCGGCCATTTTTTTTCATCGTGGTAGAACAAGACAGCCACCATATTTCTGTGTTTGCAAAATTTGAAAAGTGCATATGGTTTTGTTGCAATTAATACATGCCGGTTTTAAGATTTTGGTGTTGTATAACTTTTAAATGTTGGAGATAGGTAATAATTTTATTCTACGAAAATAAATTTCTAGTAAAGATCTACGTAAATATGAAATTTCACCTTTCGTTCAAAGGTGTAGAAGTTTTGTAAACACGTCCACGGACGGACGGACAGAGTAAAATTAATAAGACCTTTTTTTAAAAAATTTTTTTGAAAAGTTCTAAAAAGAGCAATAAAAAGAATATTTTTTCCAAAAAAAAAAATATTTATTTTATTTTCCTGTTATTTGAAATTGGGATAAGCAAATTAATTTAAAGCTGATAATTATTGACACATCTTTATTTTAAGCAAAAAATTACTATTTTTTCACATAATTTTACTTATTTACCACAATTTTTAAGTCTGACTAATATAATTTGTATTTATTGAACTCAATAATTAAAAACATTTAAAAAATTAATTAAAATATGTATATAATGTTTATTTGCACAAACATTAAAATATTTAAAATTTTAGGAAAATTTTGGAAAGAGTATAAAAAGGTGAAATAATGTGATTTTCAAAACTCAAAATATTTGTATTACGAACTTACCTTGTATAATTTACATAGGTGATTTAATGAGAAACAATATCGTTTAAATAATATAGTGGCTAAGTATAAAGAAATTTTATATTTAGTTTATTTGCAACGAAGAACACAAAACATTAAATTAAATTTAAATATTATAAATTAAGCACTTTAAATACACAATTTTTAAAACTGGCAGAAATTTGGGTAGATATTTAATATGATTGTATTGCGACCAAAATATGAAAGTATTCGCCAGATCTGATATGTAAATCACGGTTACATTATCTACCAATCAAAAATTTCTTATTTTTATATATATACCAATCATAAATTTCTTATAATTTTAGTAAGAGAAATGCTGAAATTACATAATAATTATATTATTGCATTAAAATCAATAAGATAAGGCAAAATCGCACAAATTATTAAATGAATTTTTATAAAATATTTAATTTATTATTTACGCATTTTTATTTTACGCTTTTCTTTATATACTACATACCACAATTCGTGTGCATTAAAAATTTTACTTAACATATTAGTCTGTTTTCGGTGATTTTCAAAAAAATTAAAAAAAAAAGAATGTGTTCATCTGTATATTTCGTCTTTTCGTCACTGAAAAAATTTTGTACACTGTCAAGTTCCGATCCTATGGAGCAGGTTCTTCTTACGCGGGAACACTAATTTGTTTGAAGTTTTAATAATTTATATAGAATCTATGTTAATTTAATTCCTCCCCATTCTCTGTTATTGTCCGGAAGTAAGAATTCCTTTATTTGCTAAAAGATTTTATTTCGCTTACAAAAACGAAAATCTTACAACAATATTGTCCTATAATACTTTGTTATACTTTAATTAAAATTTTTCATTATTTGCACAATTACATAATGAAATTATATTAAATTGGAATAATAAAGTTATTTTAACAGACAGTTTTCATGCCATAAACTATTTGAGGGAAATGTGTTTTCTTATAACCCATGAGTTTATTTGATAGACTATGCGTTTTAAAAATTTTTTTACTTAGATTATACTGTAGCAATTTTCAATATGTGGTCAAACACATTATTTATTTTAACAATACCCTTATTAATTAGAGTTGAAAATCAAAAATATTTAAGAAAAATTTTAAAGAATTAAGAAAATTTTTAATTTTAATTAAGTGTTCGAAAATTGTATTAAAGATTGAAATTTATTTACTGACAACTAAAAGAAATACTGATTGGAATAAGCAATCCTTATTTAAAGAACTTATCAAATTATTTGGAGAACATTCTTAACCTGCTTTTTTTATCGTTGTTTTTGCGTATGTTTAAAGTAAAACTTAGAAATTCGACAACATTTTCAAATTCTAATAGATTAGAGGAGACATTTTTTAAGTGATCCAAGTATAATAATGTATAGAAAAAACATAGGTTGGTATACTCGTTATACTTTTACATAGTTTAAAGGTTGAAATTTTGAATTTTGTCATTTTAAGCTTTAGAGATCTATCTTCATTTTTTCGGTAAAACATTTAAACGAAAAAAAAGTTTAAAAATTGAAAGTAGTTCAGAAAGTTACATTACGTGGTTTATAATATTGTAAGAATTTTTTCTTCTTGAAATATGGAATTTTAGTATTTTAAACTTTATTTAATCTCTAGGACATGAAGCATTTTTCAAGAGAAATTTTACAAAATTACCGTAACAAATTTGATTAAACCGCAATAACGCTTTCATAGAATAATATTGTTATGCACATTCCACCTTTAAAATCATGTATGTATTTTATACATATACAAAAAATTTTATTGTAGTGATATCTACATCTACCAACAAATTCACAAATAGCCGCAACACCAATCTGAAATATTAGCAATAATTCATAAATGATTATCCAACAATTTCCATTATTCATAAAAACTCTCAAAAAAATATTAGCGCCAGATCATCTTGTACATATATGCATGTATATATATATAAGCATATGCAGATGCATGTATACACTACTTCTATGTATGTATATATTTTATGAAAAATAATTAGCTACGGTAATAATTATTAATGAATTGTGTGTAAAAATTTTTTAGTTATTTTGTTATAGTTATTTTATTGAACTGCCAGAAACCACAATAGGGTAACATCATAAATATGACTGGGTTTTTTGAATTTTTTTTTAGTTCCTTCCAATTGGTAACTTACCTATTGTTCTGTATATGCGAAAATTGTATTTATTTGTCCAATTTCTATTTCAAATGTCTTACAAATGTACATATAATGAAAATATAAAAATAATTTTTTTAATGAGGGTTTTACAAAGAAACAACCCACGGCAAATACAATTTAAATGTGTTATAAGAAGACAGACAATATACACAAATTTTCAACGAAAAGCAGGTAAGAAAAAAAGAAAAAAAATCATATGTACACATATAAAATTTAACAATTCATAAAATCAAAAATTTCTTTACTTTCGAGTACTTTCATTTCCAAAAATACTTGAAGTTCACGCATGTGTTTTTACTGATAGTATAAAAGCAAAACTTTATTACAAATCTTTAGTTAAAGTGTGTTAACTCTTTAAGGGAACAACATCTAACAGTACATTTCAATTTTTTGTTTTTTTGGATTAAGCAAATCATGAAAGGATTCATAGTAAGGATTACGTCATATTGATTTCACTTAAACCATTATATGCGCTTATATCAAAATAAAAAAAAAATTAACAGTTTAGTTTTTATTCCGTTTTTGTCATCTTAGTGCATTTGTAAATTTTTTGAAAAAAATGTAATCGTTACATAATTTGACCGTAATTATGAACAACTACGGTTTGTTGTTTTTCGGTGTAACCTTAATTAACATTTAAAAATTTATTCAATTCGTAATTGGAGATTATTATCAAAGCGCTTTTAAATAAAAATATTACTAAAAATAAAAAAAAGGCTTTTAGCAGATTATTAAAAATTTATTTATTTTTTTTTAAGGTTGTTTTACTTTGTATTGGTAATACCATTGCCATTCCGCAATATAATTACAATCCACCACACCAAGGTGCTGGATTAGGGCCAATTGGTGGAACTGGACCATCGGGTATTGATGAACCATTAGGGGGTGGACTATTGGACGTAAGAGGTGGTAATATTGGTCCTGCACCATCATTTGCATCCTCAAGTAGCGCACATGCTACAGGAGGTCATATTGGTGGGTTCCAAAACTTTGCGGGTGGACACGGAAGTGGTGGTTTCGTACCAAGTACAGGGGCTTTTGGTGGAAATAGAGGACATTTTGGTGGTGGGGCAGCCAATTTGGGCGGACATGGCGCTGGTGGAGGTAGTGGTTTCGGAGGTTTTGTTGGAGGTGGAAACTTCGCGGGATTTGGTGGAAGTGCAGTTGGCAGTAACGGTTTTAGTGGAGGGAATGCCGGTTTTATTGGTCACGGTGGTGCTCATCAAAATCTTATTACAAAACAATTCTTTATTCACTCAGCGCCAGAAGAACAAGATGAAGTCGGTGGCGATAAAGTTATTAATTTAGGACCAGGACGCAAGCATTATCGTGTTGTTTTCATCAAAGCACCTCACCAAGGTGTACAAGGAGGCAGAGTCAGATTTATTGCACCAGCTAACGAAGAAAAGACTGTTATATATGTACTAAGCAAGAAGACTGATTTAGCGGATATTGCAGCTGATGTACAACAAGCACACACTGAACCAACTAAACCTGATGTATTCTTTATTAAATATAAAACACCAGAAGAAGCTGCTCATGCACAAAGGCAAATCCAAGCTCAATATGATCAATTGGGTGGTACATCACAAGTATCTGATGAAGGTGTTGCTCCTGTTTCCTCCGTTATTGGTGCTCTGGGTCATGGATCAGGTGATGCTGGACATACTGGTCATGGCGGTCATGGATTTACAAGCGGAGGGAGTTCTGGTTTGGGTGCTGGAATTGGTGGTACTGCTGGTGGCATTAGCAACGCTATTAGCGTCGGTACTGGTGGCGGACATATTGGTCATATTGGCGGTGGTTCAGGTGCGACATACTTACCTCCAAACCATTAAACAAAAGTACTTGGTTTTAGTATAAACTATTGAATTGCTTTTATGTTTGTTATTGAAATTGAACAATTTTGTTTCTGTGTTGTTTTCCTAGTACAGTATTTTTAGTTAGTTCATTATATGTTAATGTAAATAAATTAGTATTTTAAGTAAAAAGAAAATTTAATAATTAAACGAATTATAATATGAAATATATAACTGGTACTTTACTCATTCAATGTTACAGGATATAATACACTTTTAAATGTAAAAGAGTACACTTTTAAATTTTTGTTTTTGTTTTATTAATAGACTTAGTAAGCATATTGTATTTAATATGGGAAGTAAGGACCAATGAATTATTACAGTAGGTAAACATTAAAAAAGTGTAAATTTATAGAAGAATGCCGATAAAATTATCTTGGTTACACAAAAACGCTAAACAATATCCTTCTTAGAATGATAAAATAAATATAGATTGGTGAAGGTCGCTGTCTTAAAATCGAATTGTATTATGATTTAACTCATAATTAATCAACGATGTACATATATACACAAAAATACACACAAATGTGTACATGTGTTGGAAACGCTTAAATCAAAATGATCTGCGTTTCTGCTTACAATATTTAATCTCAGTCGCAAATCAAAGTGTAAGGCACGAGAGACGTGTAAGACATGTTGTGTTTACACATATATTTTATATTAAGGGGGTCAAATATACCAAATATTGTTTAAAGCAATAGCTTGCATAATTTATTTGGGATTAATGACAAATTCTACGTTTGAAGTTTAAATTTGAGTACTTCTTGTCTAGTTGCAATCAAAAACACAATTGAATTAAGATTGTGACAACCAACGTAGATTCTATGAAAGTTTACTTCAGATTTTGGAATCTATAAATCTTACATTTGTCTCATTTTCCATAATAACGTTACTATTCTGATAAAATTTAGTTATGACCATTTTAATACCTACAATTAGTGCCATACAACTCCAAGAATAATTTGCCACATCTTGAAACTATAAAGTTTGCTGTATTCAAAATTTTTTTCACAAAACCTTGGTATAGGCCAATATTAACCTCTTTCAACAAAATTGTTGTTAAATTAAATTTCAACAAATTTTAGTTTTGATTATTGAAGCTCATACAATAACTGCTATGCAATTTTAAAAACAATTTTTGCATATCCCAAAAGTCATTCAAACAATACACGAACCAGCTTAGTAATAGGATCACGTAACTCTTATGTTTATTTTGATAAGTTTATGTTTGTTTATAAATTAAATGCTTATTTAATTGGTAGCTTTTTTCTCTTTCCTTTTAATAAACTTTAACATACTTTGGATTTCTTTTGTAAATTTATGAATTTTACATTATTTTTTTCCACGTCAATATTGAATTTGATTCCGCACCTTTAGCATCATTCTGTATTTTCTTTACGCAAAAGAAGGTTGACAATGTTTTATTTTCTGTATTAAGTTTTTCTAGTAAATAAGTATTCTTGGATCCTTGGTTAAATGGTCTAAAAATAAAAATGTTGAATTAAATGACAAAACGCTGAAAATTGCTATATTTTTCATTAAACTGTGTTATTTGGACAATATTTATTTTTAATTTAAACATATTCGTGAATCGCTTCAAATTAACTTGAGCACCCATTTGATTTTTTTTTGTAGTAGTAATAAAAGTGCCATAATTGTAAATCTACATTTTTGTACCCTGCACTTCGTGAAGGGTATATTAACTTTGGTATAAAGTTTGTAACTACTTAAAGGAGTCATCTCAGTATGGACACATACATATATATATTCTTGCTCAGCGTAAAATTATGTGTTGATTTAGACATGTCCGTTCGTCCGATACGATAACTCAATAACGAATAGTGCAACCGATACCACACTTTCACAACTTGTTTCTTTTGTGCCAAGTACGAACCCTACTATATTGGACTAATTAGAGTTTATTTTAAATATTTCAAAAACTAATTAAAGTATAAATATGAAATTTTGTTTACGTGTTTCCAATTACATTATACATATGCTCTAAAAATTAGCACATAAACATATGCTGGGATGGCGGTACCGGTTCGGATGGTTGCCATACAACCCCAAAAGCAAATTTTTTATATTCGGAAAAATAATAAAATCAGATTCATAAAACTTGAATCATGTGTCCAATTTTAGGACATAAATATTTCTGAAGTTTTGGTGGAATTGCTTGACAGGTTCGGGTAGCACTCATACAAGTCCAAAAGTTAATTTTAAATAATTGGAAAAATAATAAAGTCAGATTCATGAAACTTGGCAGCCGTGTGTCCAATTATAGGTCAGACATATCCGTGAAGTAGAATGGTTTCACAGATTCGAGTAATTGCTATACAACAATGAAAAGTGCAGGGTATAATTCAATCGGTTTATACCGACTGAAACGTTTTTACTTGCTTATATTCTTATCGCTTTTTTTTATATTTTTATGTATTTATAATGGTCCCATATAAACTTACCCTTGTTTGTAGACTTATTTATGCCGAATATGTCACCCTATCTTCATAGTCTACTTGTTTTATAAATTCAGGAAACTTAAATTATGAGCTTTAATTGAGATAGTAGAGTGTCACACAAACGCGAAATAATTCACAGAAACTTTTCAGATCCGAAATTGACTCGCCGAGGTCTTTATACCCATACTTTAGTTGCATGTTATTGAATAAGTGAGTTCTACAACTTTAGTTTCATCAAGACTTGTTTTCGCAGCGTTTACATTCCACGTTTTCGTTTTGAAAAACGAATACGTGGAATGTATTGTTTATCAATAGGTGTTAATGCATATTACATATTTCTTAAAAGATGTAGATTGAAAAAATGTAACAAAAAAAGGGTCCCATCGAGCAAAAAAAAATTTTATCTAAATTTTCGAAAATTACCACTGTTTAAAAATGACAAATAAGTATAAAAGGTTTGAAAGTTAGAGCAATGTGCCTTTATAACGGAAATTTATATGGGAAATGTTAGACTTACCGTTTTTAAGTAACACATACTAGCTTCAACATAAATTTTTGAGGAAAAAAGCCAAAAATTTTTCAAAATACGTTCATTTCAAAACCTTTCGCAAATTTTGACAGAAAAATTTGCTAATTTTTTAATAACCTAAATTGCAATGCGCTGCTTTGCAATTTAGGTTATCCTTTACAGCTTGACTATACATTTTTTTTTATTTTCTAGATATGTGAAAAGAAAACTCTCTCATCTTCTGAGAAGGAAATCAGCTCCAAAAAAGTGCGCACGAAATTTATTAGCAACAATAAAAGTAATCCAAAGAAAAGGGAGTTTTCATACATCAAAAAGAAAAGTTTTGTATCTCGCAAAAATATCAATAGTTTCAATGACAATTTTTTTGGCTATACATATTTTCATGTCAAAATTAAATAACTTAATCTTATGACAAAAACAAGTCTAAAAATATTATTAAAAATAACAAGACTTTTACTTAAATTGAGGAAAATTGCCATATAACGCGATAGATTACGTTTGTCCTCACCAAATAATTTTTCCTATACCAAATAATGATCGTCGTTATGAAAATTGTGCCAAAAACTTAATTTTCAAATAATTAATTAAGACATTATAAAATGTTGTATATTATGTAACAATATATGTATATTAATAAAGACCGCAGTTTGAATCTTTTTATATAAATTTATTATTGGCATCTAATAATAATCATTCAAGTTTTATTAAATTAAATATTCAAAATTAGATTTAATGAAATTGTGCTTTGAATTTTCCAAATTTATAAATACAAAAATATTTTCAAATAAAACTACTTTTATTGTTAATAATCAAATTTTTAATTTTTAATTTCGTATCTCTTTATATAAATTACGAACACATATACAAAGTTACTTATTAAATTACGATTACCAAACTGCATAATATTATTAAGCTTTGAATCTTAAACTAAACTTATATTCATTTCGCCACAAATTTCTTAACTTTTTCTTATTTTTTTACTTTATAATTGTATTCAACTAAGGGAATTTTATCCAGAAGTGGAATATTTTTTTTTTAGGAAAAATAATAAATTTATCGTAAAAATTAATAATATATGAAAAACACAATTCTTCACAATATATGAAAAAAATTAAACATACAATTTCATTTTTCTTAATAACTATACGAAAACCCTACAATTTATAAAAATGAATCCAAAATAATATCATTAAAAATATAATTTTGACCATTTTTTAATTAAATTATTTTTGAAATTATTGCAATTTCATACGTGCGTTCATCACTACATTTAGCATCCGTACTGATTGATATTATAAATGGTACAAAAGTTTTAAATACGTACATATATTTATGTACATAGAATGTCGCGAATTTAACAGTAAAATATTAACGATTTATTTGATAACCATTTGCACAATAGTAAATTTTATACCGTTTTTTAACTAATTTTATAACTACTACGTATATAATAATGATGATCAACAGAGAGTCTGTGAACAATTTCAACAGTTAAATAATTATAAATGATGTGCCGCAAGATATGAATTGTACTATACTATATAGTATGTATGTATTAAGTAAAATAAAAAAAATAACAGAAAAAGCATTAAATGAGAAAAGAAGAATGAAAAATTTACTTTAAAACCCAAAATTGAAGGAAAGACAAGAAAAGAAACAGAAATAAGAAAAAAAATGAAAAGAATAAAACTTCATTTAACACTATAATAGTTTTCTAATATTATTGTATTATAAATGGCGAAAGATCGAGATGAGGATGAGGGATCCCACGGTAACTAATTTTGATTTTATGTTGTATTTTTCTTCTTTTATTTATGATTTGTTGTGTAGGTACACACGCAAAATATTTCTATAATATGTATTAAAATTGTACTCGTAAGTACATATACATAATCATAATGCAAAAACAATGACAACCACAGTTACAACAACAGCATAAATTTCTTTTTTTAGGTACACTTTCATTACGACCTTCAAGTATTCTTCACTACTTTTTTTTTTTTTATATTATTAAAAATTTTTTATTCGGTTATAAAAAGATGAAATTCAATTCAATATTCAGTTAATCTCACTTGATAATTTGAAGAAAAAACATCCTACAATAATTTTAATAATAATTATCAAATTGGAAGATGAAAGGATTTCTTGTAAGGATTACCGTATATAAATTATAAATATAACATTCATATTGTAGACCTCGTGTATTTTATAAAAATTATACCCGCGGATAAATAATCATAAATCAAAAATTAATTGAAAAATCATATTTTTTTTGTAGTTTTTTCATTTAAATATTCGTAAATTCAGTGATAAATTTTTATTAATTGTATTCGATAAAAAAATATTCACAACAACTAATATTTGATCCAAAACGGGTCATTATTCAAATTGGAAAAATATTTACATATTTTTTTATTGTGAATTAAAGAAAAAAGAAATTGAATTTACGTGGATAATATATAAATATTTTATATACATACATACATGGATAATATACACATGTACAATATGTTTAACACAAAAGGATATTGTTGGAAATAAATCAAAATTAATATTTATAACAAAAGCCAAAAAAGAAAAAAAAGAAAATCCAAAAAAACTTTATTAAAAGATTTTTTTTTTTTAATTTCTGGTAGGTCTTTTTATGCAGTATTAGTGCAGCCATTGCAGCTCCACAATATAATTACAATGCACCAAGCGGAGGAGTTGGTGGAGGCAGTTTTGGTGGTGGACATTTAGGAGGCGGTGGTATTGGTGGTGGTCACATTGGAGGAGGAGGCATTGGTGGTGGACATATCGGTGGTGGAGGTCATTTTGGTGGTGGTAACATTGGTGGAGGTAGCATTGGTGGCGGATCAATTGGATCTAGTGGATTTGGTGGAAATATTGGTGGTGGTAGCATTGGCGGAGGGTCTTTCGGAGGTGGTCATGGTGGATTTGGTGGTGGAAGCATTGGCGGAGGATCTTTCGGAGGTGGTCACGGTGGAATCTCACATGGTGGCGGTGCTGCTGGTGGCCAACAAACAATTGTTACAAAACAATTCTTTATTCATTCAGCACCCGAAGAACAAGATGAAGTCGGTGGCGATAAAGTTATTAACTTAGGTCCAGGACGTAAACATTATCGTGTTGTGTTTATTAAAGCACCACATCAAGGCGCACAAGCTGGTAAAGTAAGATTTATTGCACCAGCCAATGAAGAAAAGACTGTCATTTATGTCTTGAGCAAGAAGACTGATTTAGCTGATATTCAAGCTGATGTACAACAAGCTCATTCAGAACCAAGTAAACCTGATGTGTTCTTCATTAAATATAAAACCGCTGAAGAAGCAGCTCACGCTCAAAGACAAATTCAAACTCAGTACGATCAGTTGGGTGGTACTTCACAAGTTTCAGATGAAGGTGTTGCCCCAGTTCAATCAGTCATTGGTGCTTTGGGAAATACTGGAGGTGCTGGAGTTGGAGGACAAGGAGGTGGTTTCTCGACAGGAAGTGGTGTATCTGGAATCGGAGGATCATTTGGTTCAACTGGTGGCGGTCATATTGGTGGAGGATCAATTGGCGGTGGTCATATCGGTGGTGGTCATATCGGTGGCGGTAGTATTAGTGGTGGTGGTGCTTCATATTTACCTCCAAGGCACTAAACTCGCGACATTGAGACTCTAATTCTCTTTCATTTAAGTACATCAGTATTATTATTATTGTTTCTTCAATTGTTAAGATTGTTTTTGTTTAAATTTATTGCTTTTTTTTAATTTTTAAATATTGAAAAATTTTTGTTTTAAAATTTTTTAAATATGACTGTAAATAATAAAGAACAAAATATTTTAAAATTAAATAAAAGGTTTTACATTTAGAAAAAAAAGTGAATCTCTCCTTGAGTAAGGCAATTGCAAGCTTCATAAAATATGTACATTTTTAAAATTTTATTTCTTGCAACAGGAAAATATAATACTTAGCATGACTGGCGAGAGAGACCCAACACTGCACGATCTTAACTGAAACCAAACTTAGCTGAACTAATTTTTGCAAATCTTGAATCCGACTTAGAATATTTGTATTTTAAATTTTATTTAAAAATAAAAAAAATTTACTAAGTTTTCAATAAAAAATTCCTTGAGTACAAAAAAAGAAAGAATAAAAATAAATGAAATCCAGAAAAATTTTTGACTCATTCATGGAACTTATCAAATTTGGTAAAGTTGTTATTCGTTTCGTGAGTGAACACTTGTCTTCGAATGACAAATCAACAATTTCCAAAAACAGAATCAACAATTTCCACTTTTTTAATTATAGAAATTAAAAATTTGAATACTTTAACTCCGCAACACCGTAATGTAGGGGGAAATAAGAAATTATCTTTTTCTCAACAGATGTACTTTACTAAAAGCTATGTTGTTGCTTAATTACTTTCTTCATCGTTTTTACAAAAAAAAATAATTTTAATAAGTTAATGAAAAGCAAGCAGGGTTTATGTTGAAGACATAGGTACTAAAAAATTTAAATAAATGAAACATATACCTATGTATGTATATATTTTTTAAAAATATCCGCTTATAAAAATAGCCCGATTTTTAGAAATTTATCAAAATATATCGCACAAGTTTCTGATTATTTTACCACTGATAAAAAAAGTTTATCATTAATTATCCAAAAATCTTGGTAAGACTCGAATATAAATCGAAGGAACTTTTCATCACTAAATATAAAAAATAGTGTCTAATATGCCCTCGAGATTGAAAATATTCTCTGAATTTCTGAACTCTGTTCTGAAAGATATCACTTCTAAAATTTTAATTTGTCAATTAAGATCAAAATGGCCAGTTTTCTTTTTGAAAATCACTTTGTAAAAAATGACTCAAACTACATTATAGTCCAAGGTTATGGTTTCTACTCTTTAAACCTTAGTGACTTTTAAACCTTCCTGAAAATTAAATATTTGAAAAATTAAAACGAAATATTCGATAATAAGTTTATTAATTTACTTATCACAATATATTGCTTTATAAATGTATAATAGATTTTGTATATTCAAAATTTAGCTAGCCTTTATTTAATATTTTTAATAAAAATATATATTTATTTTTTTTATTCATCTTTTGCATATTTTCAAAAGATGTCGATGATTATTTTTCTATAATTAGTTTCAACAATAATTACAACAAAAAATTTGAACTTTTTCTTTAGTTTCTTACAACTTTGTTTGGTGGTAAATAAGGAGATCCACCAATAATAAGATTTGCTGAACCGGAATTAACGGCACTCTGAAAATTATTTCGACCTATTGATGAAATACCATCGCCAGATAGAACATGACCATTATGACCATGACCACCAAAACCATTACCTAATATTCCAACTACTGACGATACTGGAGCGTATCCTTCGTCAGATATTTTCGTTGTACCACCCAAAGCATCGTATTGGGCTTGAATTGTATTTTGAGCAAGTTGCGCTTCTTCTGGTGTTTTATATTTAATGAAATATACTTCTGGTTTTTGCGGTTGATGTGGTATACTTTGTATAGCTTGCTTTATTTCAGAATAATCGTTCTTCTTGCTCAATACATAAATAATTGTCTTCTGTTCATTTAAAACATTTGCTAAGGTTTGTGCTGTTTTACGTACAGCTTGACTTGGTGCTTTGATAAATACAATATTATAATGTTTATGCTGTTGATGAGTTGAATTATCTTCGTACACTTCTTCATCTGGTTCTTCTGGTGCAGAATGTATATAAATATGTTTTGTAACAATTGGTTGTTGTTGCACATGATGCTGTCCACTATGATGACTAAATCCACCACCATTTGACAGATGGTTAAATTGTTGATAGGAGGGACCTGCTTGAAATCCTGTAGCATGATTAGTTAAAAACTGCTGTACTGGAGGCGAATTAAGAGCACTATAAGCATGCTGATGGTGTGGATGTTGTATAAAAGATCCAGTATTGTAGTTTTGTGCTGCATAATTATATCCATTTGGAGCCGCAAATGCTATCGAAATGAGATATGTAAACTATTTTAAAAAACCAAAAAAAAAACTGGAATTAACAGTCCATTTAAATTAAATTTTCTTGTATTTTTTCTTTTTTTATTTTTTAATTTAGTAATTTGTAAATAAGAACAATTAGATTTCAAATTTTATAAAAGCAATTTATTTTAAATTTTCTTTTAATTCTCTAAATTATCACTTAAATTTTATTTACCACAACACTTCTCATTTTAAATTAAAACATAAAAGAATACGATGCTTTTTTTTCGATAAGTTACAAAAAACTGATGCAAATCTTTTGATTTCAGTGGATATTTATATATTGAAAAACTTTTCTAAAATCCAAAATAGCCAAAAATTGTCACACCTTAAAAATACATATATCATTTTTATACATACAAATTTTTGGCAAAATATACGTTCAATCTTTATATGATGCTCATTGAGACTTGTATTGTAAAATCTAATCATCTATTTTCCAAAAATATTGAAATTTAAAAATGTAACACAAAGTTTTTATGCCAATTTAGTCAAATATTATGTTGAAAAATTCTCCAATTATCTAAAAAGAAACCACACAGTATTAAAACAGATATCTTTTAAAATAAATAGAAAATCTATAAAAGTCTAATTTACATAATTTCTTGATCCAAATTGTATAGTGGATGGTATATGCTTAGATTTATAATAAAACTATATACCTAAACCCAAAACTTCAATTTAAAACAGTTTGATATTATAAAATGCACAAAAACATAAAGAATATTTACGGTTTTTGTATAACAAATAAAATGAGAAAATGAAAAAAAAGACTAAAATATCACATTTTTTAACCATTCTGGTCAGTGTTTAGGAACTGATTTATGATATTACCGATTGAAATCAAAAGTTAATGAAAATATTGTAGGAAACTAAAGATAAATATGAAGAATTTCTTTGAAATTTTCAACAGTAGTTGCAATTATAATGTTACTTGTAGTTTTAAGAGTGGAGGAGTTCGTAAAAAGAAATGGTATTTGGTTAATTTATGTGATTTAGCTATTGGCTCCATTTAGTTATTGGCTCCAAACCATGAAATAATGCTTTACATTCTTTTTTAAAAATGAAATATATTGAAACCAAACCGTAATTGGAAAAGAATACTCATCTCTTAACACTTGGTTACTTATCATCTCCATCACATCGTTCTCAAATTTCGGATAAGCGAAAATGCAAGTCTATTATACTTTAAGCCCGATTTCATATACATATTTAAATATTTCAGTCAGAATAAATTAATTTTAACATTTTAAATTCTAAAATATTCGTTCTGAATTTTGGAATTGATATTGTTACAGCAGCACGTCTAATTAACACTTCAATTATTATAATAATTATTAAAATACCTGAACACAGATATTTTTGCTCTTTTATTAATCTTTTGTTGTATTAATAAGAGTTTTTCTCTTCGAAGCTAAAATCAATAGCCATTGTATAACATTTTGATATTGAATTGACTTTTTTTCAAAGTTCTATTAATTTTATTCTACATTGAGTCGAAATCTGTTGCACTGATTTTCCATAACAAGATTAACAAATTAAACACTATATGGTCTAAAAATTTAAATAAACATAAACAGAGCATATACAACTTCTGATTAGCAATATTTATGTTAGCCTAGCAATGCATCATTCAATGACAATTTCCATTTTAATTTTTATTATCAAAATTTATTCGTAAAACATATACACATAGACACATTAAATATATAACAATCATAAACCTATATTATATGACCATAATATTTTAGATAATGAAACATATTTCAGTTTATCAAATTAATAATGAAGTGGATATAAGTATATATCTTTGTAAATATATGTATATTACGATGAACTTATGTGTATATTACATACACTACAATAAAATATACATATTATATTAAAAGTCTATATTAAATTAAAAAAATATAAATAAATTTTATAAGGTGTAAAAGATGATAGCCAAAAACTGTAAATATTTCTACAATGTTTCCAATGTCTTGCCATTGTGAAGATGTTGTAGATACTACCATTTCATATTTATAAAAATGATCGTAAATTCTGCACAGTTTTATAAATGATTTTTAATCAATAAATGGAAAAAACATTAATTAAACATTTATACTCTTTCGATATATGTATATACATACATATATGTATTTTGTACTACAGACCCAGAAATAGACAAGTTTTGTAAAAGTAGACAAAAATACATAAATTTTTATTATTTTATTATTAAATAATAGCAGTATTATTCTATATAATAAAAAACAAACTTAAATGATGGTTACACATTAAAAATTTGTAAATTAATTCAATTCCAGTTATTTGGATTTCTTAGATTTAATTCTATATAATTTATTTATTTAGTTAGAGGTTGATTATGCAATAATTATTAACTAAAATTAATTTTTTTTTGTGAGTAAAATAAAACAGAGATTGTCAACGCTTTTAATGATTAGCAAAATTTTATTAATGAATAAAATTAAGTAACGCTTACGCAATAGCAGTCAGGCGACAAATCGGGAATTCATTGATTTTTAAACACAGAATTAGGAACAGAATCAATAAATGTTTATTCTTATGCATTTTTTAAAGTAAATGAGGAAAAAGGTCGTCGTTTACTATTGTTACAATATTAGATGAATAGCTTAGATAAATTTAAAGAAAATCATAGATTAGAAATGGTTAAAATCAACATATTGTGAAGTTTTGGCTTGTTAGGGCAATAGGCGGACGGTTATCCCTATAGTATATTAAAATTAAGCCAACATCTTCATATTTCACTCAAGTTTGTTTTTTTTGTTTTCGACACTTTATACTTTGGTATAAAATATAACACAAACAACTTAATAATTATCAAAACATTACACTTTAAGTGGTCTGCTATAGTCATAATGATTACCACGTACCAGTTATTGACATATACATACTTGTGTTCACATGTAATTTATAAATAAACGATAATAGGAAAGTTTGTTTATCAATTTCAGTACTCAATCATTTAAGTTGGTGAGCTTCGTTTTAAAAAAACCCAATTTTTATTGTTAAAAAATATTTGCAAATGCTGAAGTTAAGCAATTTAAGCAACAAATTTTTCATTCAGTCTCAAATATTAAAATAATGTAAAATTTTCCAAATGATGTAAAAAGAACCAAACCACATATTGTATTGCTAAGGCTTGTCATAGTTAAAATAATGTTGTATATTAAAATATCCAGAGATAGCCATTCTAAACAAACGTATATCTAAGTGTACCTATCTCATATTAAACAGAAAAAACTTTGTAAGGTGTTCAAGACCTATAACAGAGTGACAAACAAATAAAATAACGCACGGTATCTACTGTAATTGTTTCCTATACTTACCAAATTTTATGAGCTATTAAAATTCATTCTGATTTCGCTTTTTTTATTCATTTTCAGACTTATAAAGAGATACAACATTTTTTATTCGCAATAACAAAAACAAAATCAACCTATATTACATTTTAATTACTTACGACTCTATTTTAATTTTTACCGTTATACAAAAATTTAGCAAAAAACGATTATTTTAAACAGCTTGTTTTGTTAAATTTTTCTTTTATTTCAGTCATAAAATCTCACCGATATTAGATATTACCAAAATTAAAGGTTTATCAAAAAAAGAAAAAAAACAATTGTAAAAACAATTTTATTCAAAATATTTTCGGACATGTTCGTAATAACGCGTTGTTCACCATATTGTTGTACTTTTTCGTTTTATTTAAACAACGTAAGTAGAGAGTCGTTTTAAATATTTCCCGCGCTATAAAATCGAATAAAAATATGATAAATTAAAAAAAAAATGGTATGAACAATGGACAAAGATAACGTCAAAAAATTTACCTTTTATCTGTCTGCTTGTAAAAATAAAATGGAAAAAATTCAAATGAAATTGAAAGTAAACATTTTTTTCGAAATTATTAATAAGAAATTGTTAAAATGTTCGAGGAGAAACGAAACGGTAAAACCAATATTGTAACCGAACATACGAAATTTTCTAAGCACGCTCCAAAATAATATTGTAATTATTTTTTTTTTTATGGAAGTACGTAGAATATTTTAAGGTTACTTTTGTTTATTATTAGTTATTTATGGTACTTTTTGGTCAGCCACTTTTTTGGTTGTGGTATACATCATAATTAATTAAAAATATATTTTTTATTTATTTGTTTATTTTTTTAATACTGTTTTGCATAATTTTACTAAACTACTCATTATGCTTGATTTGAATTTTATTTTTACAAAAAGTAGCGAAAAGTATTATTATTTTTTTTTTGGTTAGTTTTTCTAATATTTTGGAAACTGTTTTCATAAAATATTAATTAAATAGTGCTTTATGAAATCAAAAAGTAATTTAAACTATTTAACAGAAATTTTAATGGTGATTTTTAGTGACATCTGGCGTTATTTTTGGTAAAAAAAATTTAGTTGAGAGAAATGTAATTGGTAATTTATTCAAAATATTTACATAATATTTACAATTATAGCTATATATGTAGATAAATATGTATGTATACGTAAACCTAATATGATTTATAAAATAGTTGAGTAAAAAAATATTGTGTTATACTTTTGCGGTATAACAAAATATAAAATGAAAAAAATTGTTCACAGTAAAATCAAAACAGCTTTATTTCCGCTTTTAGACAATTGTAACGTGTGACAATTTTTGATTTAATAAAATTTAACGAGAACAGTCTTTACAAAGGTTACTTAAAATTGTGATGAGCTTATCAAATTAGGTATTTCTAAAACAGATTGGCTAAGAAAATTTATTGTCAGTAATTGAACCATTTCACAAAAGACAAAGAAAAGCAACATTATTGACGTCAAAATTTGTATTGAAAATTGACGCAAAATGACATCCACGTCATAGCATTAAAGTCAAAAATACATATATAGTTATCAGTATAACATGCATTTTTACCACATTGAAAGTAAGGCAAAAACCTATATTGAAATAAATAAAAAAAATAATCTCTTAATGAGACCAATTTTTGGAAAAAAAACGTTGCTTCACACTTTTGATATTAATAAAAAAGAACTGTTATATTTCCGGAACCGTAAAGGTCTTGTATGATTCATAGAAACAAAAAGGATAACTTTTCTATCTTTAATTAAACATCTGTCAACCAAAGGTGAAGTTAAAACCTCGATAACTTCATTTGTTTAACACAAGACTGAAATTGTATTTATTATGAGTTTCAGAAATTTTGAGTGGTTGTGATTCGAAACAAAGAAAGTTTAAAAAGAAAATGTGGTAAAACACGATTGTTCGAATCATACTAATTACCTTGATTCGACCTTGTTAAAACTCATTCTATTCGCTTAACATCAAACATCGGAAAAGTCTAAAAACACACAACTTGCCAAATTAAACAAAAAATTAAAAAAGAGCTCAATTTCTGTAAGAACATCAATTTAAGCAAATTTATGAAACTGGTCGAAAATGAATACCCATTAATTTCGCTATTTTGTGAGAAATTATTACTGCAAAAATCATCGACCGCAGAAGTTTTAGAACTCAATGAACAAAAAGTTGTGTTTTTCTTCACTATATATTTTATTGTCTTAGAATAAAACCTCATTTGAATTGGTTCAATTGGAATTTGATTCAATTATTTTGTGAAATAATAAGACAATAAGTGAAATATGCCGATGTCTGCGGTGTGAACGAACAATGACATAAAGATTTATGGTGGGATTTCTTTTTTGTGTGAAAATTAAAAGCTCCCATTAAATTAAAATGGAAGTCTAAGTAGTTTTTGAAATTTCGGGAGAATGTTTTTATAAATTGTTTTACCATAAGTCATTAGCTATCTCAATTATTTTCCTAAAATTTTTATTAGTAAGAATCGGCTTAGTGTAGAAAATATTAAAATAGTACAAATATATAAGATTCTTATAAAAGAAAAATATAATGCATATAGTTGAGTAGGAAGTATCCCGTCTTAGTTGAGGACACGACCATTTATATCCATTTAGTTTTAAAAGCATCGCGTTT